GGAATGCGGCGTTTATTATCGTTCAAGTTCATCGTTATTCGCTCGATTACATTGCATTTGCCTATCATCATTTGATGACAATCGATCAATCGTAATCAGACAAAAGACGATGTCGTCATAACCTCATTTCAAATATGAAAAGTCTGGTCAAATGTATATGTCAAAACGATTTGATGTGTTTACTAGGAACAAGATATTTCATCACATATATAAAGCATGTATTTGAAAAAAGAATAAACGTATACAGAGAAATGTTATTTCTTCTTCTTGCCTTTTTTGCCTTTTTTACCCTTTTTACCTTTGCCACCTTTCTTTCCTTTTTTGCCTTTACCATCGCCTTCGCCCGACTCTTGCTCTTCAAGAAATCGTTCATGTTTTTTGCCTAATGGAGTCTTTTTCCACCAACTCTGAAAAATAAAACAACATTTCAATCACCATAACAGCGTCGATCTTTCGTCATACCTTGAAAGCATTCTCTTCTTCTTTGTATATCGCATTACGTTGTGCAAGTCCAGAGATGAAATCAGTAGCTGTCAGTGGATGTTTGGCCATTTTCGCCAGACGTCGTTCTGTTAACACTTCGACGATTGTCTCATGAATGTGACCCGATGAATACGCATCCGAAAGTTTAGTTAACGATGTCAAGTCAAGTGTCGGAGTGATGATACCACCGTATTTCGGTATCAATGTTTTCCATAGTACTAACAAGATAAAAATGAAAAGTCAAGATTTGATAGTATCATCCATTTTTCTCTGTGCGCAGTTAAATTGTACGGATATATTAATTTCGTTGGAAATTAGTAGTCCACTAAACCTTGGGCTCCTCCTACTATAATCTTCGGTCGTTACTACACTCATTAATTCTATTATTATACTGAATCATTTCGCAGCTGACGTCAACTTGTCCTCATTTCTTCTCTTTGTTTAAAGATCCTTGATAATAATACTCACATAGACGAGTACCATATTCAGGACGTGGTAATAGAATACAACGTGAAAATACTTTCATCATTGGTTTGACAGTTGCTTGATACGGTTCATTGGAAATACCAACTAATAAAACGCGATCCCCATGCTTGATCAATTTCAACCATTTCGGTAAAGCTTTCGCGAGCTTTTTTGGCTCAAACTAAACAGCAGACGATATCGATATACATGAGTGTTACTGAGCAGATTGTTCTTACTTGTTTCTCTTCGGGTTTCAATTTCTTTTTGTATAATTTTTCGCAATTATCAATCAAAATCACTGTGGGTTGCAGAGCTTTGCCAACCTAGAAATTCAAATGGAAATCGGAAGATAAACTTCGCAGATTGATTTACTTTCGAACATAAGTGTAACAACATTTTTCGTCCTTCTTTTTCACGATAGGTTTCGAAAATATTCGACGGTGTTATATCAAACAAATTAGCTCCTAGTTCATTAACAATCGCATGAAGTAATGTATGTTTGCCACATCCACGAGGCCCACATATCAATAGACCTTTAACCTGAGGTGCTGTTTCATGAACTTTTTCAGATCCTAAAACAATTTTTAGTTGGTCGTTTTGAATTCAAGTAGAGATTTAAAAACAAACCGAATGGTAAAACTCCGTATAGAGCGGCTAATTGTTTGGCATCGTACATTGTTGGCATTGGTTCATGTTTGGCTTGCCGAATTAAACTTGGTAGATAATTGAAATCTCCCACGAAATCACTGAGAGCTACTTTCGGTGGACGAACTATGATTCTATTCATAACCAGTTCTTCATATAAAGATTCAATCGTTCGGTCCGGTGTTAGATCTTTCTCTTTCTTCTTCTTCTTCTTCTTCTAAATTGAACAAATCACATGATATTCTGCTTTATTTCAGAATTACCCTTTTTAGTTAATCTTACCTTCTTCTTCTTCTTCTTTTTCTTTTTCTTCTTTTGCTTGGTTTTATCAATTGCCTAAAAAGAAGATTTTCAGTCCGAATTTCAATTCATATGGAGAACTACAAACCGCTTTTAAATTTTTCAATTCTTCACGCATCAAGGCATCGACTTCTATTCGAACTTCTTCCACAACTTCTGTTCGTTTTTCTTCTTTGATAATTTCACTGTCGTAATTCTGTTCGAAGTTATTCGATTCATCTCGTGTTTCCCAGAAATCTTAATAGTAAACCATGCAGTTATTTGCCCCGTTAATAATTTTCATTCGAAAAACCTACTTTGATATGTGACTGTCGACGGCTTGATCATTTCATTGACAAATTCAGATTCGGGCAATGTCCAACCTTCGTCATCATCCTTTAAAAAAACGAAAGATCAGTTTCCTTTTCCATGCTATCTACGATGAACACATACTTTCTTTTTCTTCTTCTTGCCCTTCTTTCCTAAAATCATACAGCTCATTGATTCCTATCAATCTCAATCGTCATTCATACCTTTCTTTTCTTTCTTCTTTTTCTTTTTCTTCTTTCCTAAATATTTCACAAAAGAAAGTCTTGAAACCAAATCCCTTCGCATGATATACCTTTCTTGTCTTTTCCTTTTTTGCCTTTACTTTCCATTTTCTACAAATTAATCACACAGATGCAACTCATTAACAATTAATTGCTCTATTTTTACCGCATCCAATTCCGCTTGTATTTCACCAAGAGTTTTGTTAGCGAAAATTGCATTGGATCCACCGTCATCTTCATCGGGAAAATCTGGAAATTTCTTCGACGCATTTCTAGAAACGAAAAATCGATCATCTTTAAAGTTCAATTATGAAGTCAACGCTACCGGCATTCAATAAACCACTGTCGAATTTGATCTTGTAATCGTTCTTTCATGTCAGGTCCTTCAGTTTGTTTGATTTTTTCACGTGTCGCCACTAGTGCTTGTTGATAATTGATTTCATGCTTTTCTTGCCGTTTTCGTCGCTCATCTTCATGTGCCCGTACGCCTGCCAAGATATTTTTTAGCGGATCTTTCGCAAATGTTGGCATAGCCTGAAAGATTGGTGTAGAAAAAAAAACTCTAATCGATTCGAACTGAGCTCTTACCATGCCTAGAAACATGTACTCTTCGTCGCGAAATTTCTTTGCTTCACGTCGTACAACATGTCTGCGATAATACTTTTGAATGATGGTTGCTGCTAAACTCTTATCCATTTTCGATTCGCCCATATTTGCACGTTGTCGAGCACGCTGATCATTCAGTCGTAATTCACGCATTTGTTTCGCACGCAAGCGACCTTGTCGAGCTCGTTCATGTGTTTGAATAATGCGAATGGCATCATCTATTGACATCATACCGATACCATCGGGTTTGTCATTCTCGGAGGTCATTCGAGCTAAAATTTGCCCGAGAAGACGTTCGCGTTTCTCGATTGCTTGGGCACGTTCAAGTACAAAATAGTTTGGAATAGGAATCTCCAGATCGCTCTAGGAAAATATTTGATAAAACCTAGATGATATTTTCGTCCAAGATATCAACAAACCGGCGTTAGTTTGAGATCAGCTAGGATATCATCGAAATAATGGTATTCAGAGTAATCCATAGTGATCATTTCATGTTTCAGTTCTACGATTCTTCCCATCACACCGTCGAGAACTGTTCGCACCAAGCGTCGTTTTTGTGGATGAACTATTTGGTCATAACATTGTTCTAGTTTGCGAAATATTTGTACATATTTGACAAACATCGTGGCGACTAATTGAAAAGCCGCATTGATATCCTATTCAAATGGAAATCACCGAGCTCTCTCGATATTGTATCAAATATAATCACATACTGTTTCTGGGGCTCGTGGTTGTGCTGGAGTTTCGATGGCCAGCATATCGGCCACAGCCAGTTGTGCATCTTGCCATTGTTTATTATACGAACTAAAAGTAAATATTGTTTGTTTGTGGAAAAGCAGACGCGGGAAAGGCAGACACTTACATATGCGACATAGTTATATGTCGTTAATTTCGGCACTGAATGAATTCAATGTATACGATCTGGTCTCATTTGAGAAATCGTTTCTATAGAAACGTACCTGCATTGTGATGTCAAAGTGCATAAGTGTGCTGAAAATTTTCTTTGGATGCACTCATGAAAAAGCGAAGCAATGATGAAAGACGACTGTATACACACGAAGAATTATATAAATTTCCTTCCTTTTTTTTGTCAAAACACATTTACGTTTTGTTTATTTCGATTGTAGCTGAGACAAATGAGAACGTTACGGAGAAATTTTTTCACATGAGCATAGCGTCGATATTGTTCACAAATATCATTGTTGAAGAATAAATAGTATTTGGTTTCGTTGTTGACGATCCAAATGTGTTTACTGTTGAGCATCGGCGATGCATGATAGTAAACATAGGACAGCAGATACGCAAATTTATGATACTCGAAAAGACGGTAGCGGTTATTCCGTAAGTTCGCTAAATGAAAACAACGAAAGAGTCTGTACAATGAAGTTGTGTTTCTTTCTTAGTCGAATAAACGAGAGTGGCATTTGCAATCACATGGATTCGATGAAGAAACATCGAATAGTCGAAAATATATGCGAACGCAATGTAAGAGAAATGTTTTGAGCGTTTGATATCGACGGAATTAGTGTTGATTGTTGAATTTTAGCTTCGTCAAATAATCGAGTTGTATCTAATTCGTCGTCATCTCAACAGCATCGACAAAACGATGATAAGAAAGCTGTTCGAGATGTATGTAAATTTCGAGTGAATGGTATTTGTCGAGACATGACTTTTCTTTAGACGAAAAAACCGCTTCGTGTGTTCGGTGATTGGTCTGAATTCAAAAGTTCAACAGGTTTGTCGTTTCGGAAGAAGAAAACATGAATTCGATGATTATTTTCTAGGCAAAACATATTTTTATAATTGTAAAACTGAAATATCCCAATGGGAAAGTCCTAAATGTTGGCCATCGGATGAATCTAACCGAACAAGTACATCTTCCACTAGTCGAAACAAGAAAGGTGACTTTTCTTTATTAATCAATCATATCAATCGTCTCTTTTTTCCAAACGAATGTTTAGAACCAACAGCACATGTTTCAGCCACAATTCGTACTCGACATAAGGTGGAAGATTCCACTCCTCAACGAACACTTTCCCATACCTCCAAACCAAAACTAACTCCAGAAAATTCCACAAATCACCATCATCATCATCATCAAAATGGAAATCATCTAGTTCATGACACCAATGAGCAATCATTTCTCCCTTCACGTAATCGTCTTCCAAGTCCTGGTAATTACACAGACAGACATCTCCAAATCATCTTACACTTGATCTTTAGATGACGACAGTTCACGAATGTCCTTCTCATCAACAAGCAGTAAACAATCCTCTCCGATTCGATCTAATACGAAGGAAACTAATGGCAATGTTCTACATTCATCCTTTTCAGAACCTGGTAACTTCGAACAAAGCGAATAAAATCTTTTCACATATTCCTTTTCAGCTATTTCGGTGACAATGCCAGTATCAGATGTTTCATTGACCAAGCCGATCTCTATAAATGGTAAGATGATTGCTTTATAGACACGAATCATGAATAATTTGATTTCTGAAGGAAATGACACAAAACATGCAGTTGCTCGACCTACTTCATCTACTCAGTCAAATACGGATTCGACACAAAAGTAAGTTGTAGAGGAATGATGATGTTCGAGCGAACAATTTGACGAAAATTTTGATTTAGAAATGAAACTGAATCTAATACATCGCTAGTTTCGAAAGCAGAACGTGAACAAGAAATCCAGAAATACTATCGTGCTGAACTAATTCAACATTTAACAGATTGGCCAGCAACTCAACTAGAGAAACAGGTAGAAATCAGTTCACATCTTCTAAACCACGACTCCGATTGATGTTTTCATTTAGTGTTTGAAACTATTTGATGATTACTATGCATATAGTGCTAAAACATCAACATCATTTACGGAATTAAAAGCATGTAAATCAAACTATCGTGTACTTGAGATAAAACGAAATATCTTAACTCAAAAGTAAATGCAATTCTTGAAAAATCGCCTCATCGAATGTGTTTTTTTCTCTGCCATTTCAGGCTTCTCTGTTGTCAAAAACAAGCACAAGAACGACAAGAAAGTTAGCATATGTAAACTTATCCTTTTTTCGCGGCTTTTACATGTTTTCTCTTCTCTCGTGATCACTTCGCAGCAATGTGCACTTGTATGCGACAATATTTGTTCGAAGAAGAGAATTATCCTCATCAGTTCCTTGTTTTCGTTTTTCGTGTCAGATAAATTCAATTCTAAACATTTGCTGGTCTATCGTTATTGAGCTGCTTAGTGATGATCGGATTCTCTTGTTTTGATTATTTTCTGCTTTTGTTTTCTTCTTTCCTCCTCTTTCGCCGCCCTTCATCTGTTTGATTTCGTACTGTATTATTGTGTATCTTGGTTTTGTTGTTTTTTTTTCTTTTGTTCTTTTGAAAAAGTTATACACTATATATATATATAATTTCAAATATGATACTCGTGCGGAAAATTGTTAATGGGATAATGTACAAAAGGAATGTTCATCTTCATTTTCAGACAATTGCTCGTGTTTCCTTCGGAAATGTTTGGAAAAGCTATTGGTTTGTTCTCTTATTGTAATAAGAATAATCTCAGTATTTGAATGTTTCGTGGAAATTTCGTTGTTTTGCTTTTCAAATAGTGTACCTAGGAGATATGTACATATTTGACTCGATGTAATCAGATTGTTCCTAAGAAATATTTTCGAACGGTTACAATGGAACGTAAAAATGACATTGGTATGGGTTTCATGTTTGATTTAATACTGTATGAATAACGTCATTGACTAGTAATAGAAAGCTGAGGCAAAATATTCACAGCTGTGATGAATTGATTAAGTATAAGCAAGTGAGGTACGTTATTAATTTAGAAGACAAAATCTTGGAAAATTCATGATTTTCTAAATAGAAAAAAGTTCTTCATATGTAAATTGCATTTAGAGCAAACTGCTCGGAGTCTTCTATTCTCTAGTAATTATAAAACGATACGCTTCATTCATTGGCCATATTTCAATATATTAAGTAAAACTTCTCAGTCGTTGCTGAGTCTAAGGAAACGGTACTCAATTTCTTGCACAGATTTTGGCTAACAATGTGTTTACTAAAGAAAAAATAAGACAGTTCGGTGTGCACTCGTGCAAGGTCTTTCTCTTAATAATGAATCGCATGAACGAGCCTTTTACCTGATTTGTAACAAACGTTGTTTCAAAACGTCATCTAAGATTTTCAAATATTCTTCTCTTTCTTTTCTTTTCTTTTCTTTCTTGCTAGGCGTAGTCTTACTCGGCAAGTAACATAGGTTTCTTGCGTACATACATACATGCATGCACTCGTTTTTCTCGTTCTGTATGTAGTTTGCAGCACCAATCATTTCTTCTCATGGACGTCGCTTTCTTTTTCTGTCTTTCTACTACTGACAACAACGCGCGCCCAAAAGAACTACTTTCCTAGCATAACAGTCATCCCGTTGTTTTTTCTTTAAATATTCTTTTATCCACGACACTGAAATATTATTTATTTCATAAAAAAGCCGAAGGAAAAAAACTATTTCTAAACAATATGCGAGTAAGACTTATTGCAGTGTCACTCGTTTTATCGGTAAGAAAATGATAAAGATAAAAGAGTAAAGTATACCAGTCAAAACACGCTACCACGATGTTTTGGTTTGATGAAAACACTTATTACGAACGCGAAAACTAGTCGTTTTTTCATTGAACATGTCACATGATTCGATCATAAATTCCGTTCCTGTTGATTATAGATTGTTTTTTTCAGTGAACAATGCGTTTGCCATAGGAAATTAAATGCATACACTAATGACTGAAGGTAAACGAAGTTGGTTTTTTTCTTTTGCATTCACTGTGAATTTTCTTTTAGTGATAAATGAAGAAAATAATAGTGTACCAACAGCAGCTCCTGAATCATCGATAACTGCTGTTAAAAAGCGAAAAATTCGTCGCGTCAAATCTTTAACCAGATTATCAGTTGACAGAATAACGGAAGAAGATAGACAGAAGCAAAATACTCGAAAATCTTCAACACATACATCTATCGATAAACGGCCGTTTCCCTTCGGTCTTTGGTAAACTTAATTTTAACATCGTGTGCTTGGATAATTTATTGTTTTAGTCGAGTTTGTACCGATAAAGCAACTGGTGCTCACTACGGCGTACCGACATGTGAAGGATGCAAGGTAAACTTGTAATTGATCATTGAAGGTATATTCTAGTTTCTTGAGTTGAGTGGCAGTAATGTATAACGTGTTCCTAGCGGCCAAATTGTGATGATATTTTGTCCTACATTCAGCATACGTTGACATAGATTCGACAAATGTGTAATTTTTCTCTTTTTTAGGGATTTTTCAAACGAAGTATTTTACGAAAAGAAAAATATCGATGCTATTTCGGCGATAAATGTATAATCAACACTGACAATCGGAACCGATGTAAATCGTGTCGTTTTCAAAAATGCTTGAAAGAAGGCATGTCTGTCGAAGGTATTTCAGATGAATTTCGTAGTTTTCCATAAAATATCTTTTGAATTTTCTTATCAAGGTGTTCGAATGGGTCGCATACCAAAGTCTGTGAAAGAAAAGGCCTTGGCGGAACATACGACATCGAGCGTTGAAAACGAAGATCCAGCTCAATCATCTCCGTCCCACATTCCATCGATGACTTCGAATGCATTCAATCATTTATCAACATCTTCAATCGCCGATCTACCAATACCATTGATCGATGAACATTTACTCTTTGCAGACTTAGACATGGCACCCATTGATAATCAACTCAACTGTCACACATCACTGCCAGGCACATCACTCACTCAATCGTCTTGTTATCGTTATGAATTACCAGACAATTTCACTATCGATGAAACAAAACAAGAAGATCCCGAAGATAATAGTGGAATCGTTCGATTGAACCCAACCGCATTGACAAATTATATGACGAATTGTGAAGAACGTTTTGCTAACAATGTTATCGAACGAATGAAAACTATTGCTAGCAAAATATCACACCCGACAACATGTACAGAACTCGATTATGAAGAATCATCATTCATACGACATCTCCGATGGAAGATGTTTGATTTAAGTAACACATACAATGGACGAACGCGACAATTGATTGAACGAATGAACAGTATGATTCACTTACGAGTAAGTCGCATAAAAACTCCACGATTTCATTTTCCTATTCGAAATCTAGATCGACGATTATCCAGGCAAATCATCATCATTACAAGATATTTGGGCAGGATTGACCGGTAAGATCACAAAAACAGAATTTTGAAACTTATTTGTAGAATGTTCTTTTTGTTTAGATGCGATACCATTTCATGTGAAAAATCTCATTACTTTTGCACGAGAAGTAAATGAATAGGATTTTGTTTTGCGTTTTTTTCCTTCACTAATAGTGCTCAAGAGAAACAACTCCAAAAGTAGAAAGTTCATTATGAGACGTTAGTCAGATATAAAATTAATTACTGCTAAGTTTATTCTTTGAGCTGTTCCGACGACGCTGAATTATATGAAAGAGAATAAGATTTGTTAAACTATGGCAATAAAATTTCTATTAAGATGCCTGCAGTCAATGAAATTGATGCGGATGATTTCCATAAAATAATGAACAATCGTTTGTTTGATTTCTGGCTTGTGAGTTTAATTATTTCTGCTTCCGTCGCCTCTTCACGTTCGTCGGTTAAATTTAGATCAAACATGCTCCGTTAATATGCCACAACGAATCGTACATGATGTTGCCCAATGGTCTTCAGTACACACGTGAATGGATGAACAAGATTATTGGCGAAGAAATGGTTCAAACTATGTTTCAATTTGCAAACAATTATAATCAATTACATCTAACTCACGAAGAGCATGCGCTTGTGTTTCCTGTTGTGATTTGTGTCAAAGGTAAGCACATCTAGAGATACAATGATAAGATTTCATCTCTATTCGTATTCTTTAGATGAATCACTCCAGGATCAGGAAACGACTCGTTCGATTCAGTATTGTTATCTATATGCATTATACATTCAAATGTTAACAACACGCACACCAACACAAGCCAAAGCCCTATTCCAGAATCTTCTTCAGGTAAAAAGAAAAAAAATGGTATTTTCAATTGAGAAATTCTCTCATCGTTATTAGATATTTGCATACCTGCCGTTGTTGAATGAATTACAAGAGAAAAAAGTTGGTTCGCTAGTGCCTCCAAGTAAGTTTTAGATCTCTGACTCTTTGTGAAACTATTCATTTTCATTAACATGTCTCACAACGCTCTTTCTCGCACATAGTCAATTCTAATCACCGGAATTTCAGCACGCTTCGTCGTTTTCTGCACGATGTTCTTTTACTAGAATATTATGGTAGTTTCTTTTTGTGTGGCGCTTTTTCCTATTTTGGAAGATCAGCTCATTTTTTCTGATTCGTGTGATATTTAACACAAATTTACCAGTCGCTCCGGACTAACAACTTTTCTTCTTTTCATTCTAGGTGATGATGAATCATAATGAAGAATAATATCCCTTTACTGATTTTTTTATATTGCTCAATGTTGTAGTCTGACATTGTTGTATTTTTTCTGTCCTTTTTGTATCTGTTTGCGAGTGTGAATATGTATTTTAAAAAAGATGAAGGAAGAAAGAGAAAGTAACCGACAGAGAAAGCAACCTTGATGTAATAAAGAAAAAAAAGCGACACCAGTTGTTTCATCCATTTCCAATGACAAGGAAATCAATCGTGGAAGGCAAGTAAGTATCAAAGACATATTGCGAGTTAAAAATAAGTTATGAAATCTTTTTCGATCGTTGAAATCGTCCCACAACTCAATTGTTTCGTCATAGGTGGTGAGAAGATATGTTTATATGCAGACCAAACAACAACACCCGCTAGAACGAGTAGATCGATTAAAATTAAAACAAGAAGAACAATTTTGCTGATTCGTCGTTGTTTTGAGCAGTAAAATATGTTGGAGAGTGTCGGTAGTCGTTGAATTGTGTGGATATCACTCGTATCATCAGATATCCACGGAAGTTGTTCACATGTTTCATAGCATACATCACGTTGATTCGTCGAGATATATTCGATTCGGTTTGTGGATTCGCATAGAGTCAAAAATTGATTTGCTCTTGATAGATTTAAATAGTGCATAGAATAATCCGTTTGGTTATGATTATATTCGAAGATCATTAAGTAGTTCTGCGAGTGAATGTAGAATTGCTCAGATTTCCAACTGATGAACATCTTGATGGGCGAAATTAGATTATAGATATTCACTAATAACTGACATGACGATGTTTCTAATTGGCAAACATGGAGTTGATGAAAATGATTTGTTTGGTAGAGAATCCATGCGTTTCGAAAGTTCTCATCAATGAGGAAACTCAACGCCCGTTCAGTTTTAGGTAGATTAAGTAGGTCATTTTGTTTAAACACTGAAGCTGATAATGGTAAAGTAAATGTCTGTATAAGTGATGTTCGTGGATCGAATAAATACAGATAACGTTGGCCAAGACTGAGATGAATTGTTGACGAATAAACCTTGTTACTTAGTTTTTCGTTCCAATAAGTATGTAGAGTGTCGAGTGTGTTTAACGAAGTGACCGAATATGTTGTATTGAATTCATTTAATAGTAACAAAATTGTATTAGTTCGCCGATGAAACAAGCCTTGTTCGATAGTTGTGTTTGGTTTCGTTTCATAGATGACACTCGGTGGATTTCCATCGTATAGAAAAACAGTTCTCGATGAAATCAATACGAAGATATTTTCGTCACATTGTTCATTGGCGTTACTTATCGCAGAAATCATTAAAATTAAGACGATGATGGAACAGAAAAACCATCGTGCCATTATGTTTAGTTATTGGATGTGAATAAGATGGCAAATGACTTTTGCAAACCAAACCGCCGACAAATGTCGAAGATATTTGCTTATCAGACGAATTAGAAGACCTTTTGAATTTGATAATAAAAAGAATTCGATGCATTTTCTAGATTCGAAATGTCTTCGAAAACAAAAGAATCAGATGTTCAATTGGAACTTCATTTCCTCGACTGCCAGCCTGATTGTATTGATCATTCTCTCAACGATCAATCTGTTTTGGATCATCTGTATCGTGCGGTTACTCAGAACATACTTCAATTGGAAAATTCCGATCAAAGGAATCAATCCCATCGGATCACAGATATTGATCAATTAGTTGTATTACTTAATCATGTAACATTCACGCCCAGAAGTATGACAAAACATATACCGGTTGAACTGACGAGAACCGACAATCGGGAAATCGAAATTCCGATTATCAAAACAGAAACTAAACAATTACCAATGGAAGTTCAAGTAGAAACAATAGGAGTCATTCCTCCTGCACCACCATTACCCCCTTCACTGGATTTAGCGATCAAATTGCAAAAACAAGCGATGAAAATAGAAGTTCTTTCACCTGATAAGAATTCTCTGTGGTCCTCGGTAAGATTTCCTTTTATTGATATTTAATCCAAAATCTGAGTCATGAAAGTAAATAACTTCCATGAGTCATGTTACATTTGCTGTGTTTCAGGTAATGAATCTCGACGTGGCTGATTACTTTACTCAACCGAATCCATCTTCAAGCCAACGTATGTTAATTGATACATTAATTGCATTAGAAAATGTAATTATTTAATTTTAGAATATGCAGAAAGACGAAAACAATCAAAACAAGAGACGATATTGGATGCCAGAAAAGGCTACAATTTGGGTTGGTTGATTTTTTTTCTTCGTAAATCGTCTATCAGTGAAGGGGATGTACGCTGAGCTGTATTTTTTTTTGAAAGGTTTTTTATTGACGCAAGGGGTAGCATTGAAGTGAAAAACGAAAAATCTACATAGAACGAAAAGAAAAACAAGTATTGCATTTTTTATCGGCAATCAAGTTGCGTTTGTTCGTTGCTATAAGAGTCCATTAATGCGATTTTGCTTGTGAGAAATAACTCCGAAATGATCAAAGTTAACGTAAAAGCATGATTTTTAAGAAAAGTCTCTCAGTTGCTGTCTCTTGCGAAAAAAAAACCCGATGTTTACATTCGAAAAGTCTATAATTTCGAAAGATCGATGCTCTCAAAATAATTCAGCTCAAACTACGATGACACATTCGTCGTCGAGACGATTTTTTTTTTCGAAAACAGAACGAAACATAAAATATTTCGATTGTGTTGTTTTTTTTTCTTTCGTTTTTGTATTCGTCATAACATTTACGCATATATATTTATAAGCGAATCTCACCGAACAGAGCAAAGTGATTCGAATTGGATTTTGTTTCGTTACCATTTGTAAAATGTCTTCCACTCAGTAAGATGCATCCAGCTACCAGCAATTCTGATTCAGATTCCAGCTGGAATGAAATTTTAGGCTCGTCTCTTAGTTCTACCGAATCACGCAAGCTAGAAGACGTTAACTTCCTCGTTAAACAAGTAGGAACGTACTACTCTCGGGAAGGAGGTATCTTCGACCCTGAGTATTATGATAAAGAAGTAGCGAGAATAATTGAAGAATGTATCCGGTCAAACTCAAGCAATCACTTGACGCCTAATTACACACAAAGCACACCAAACGGCTACTCCGCACCTCCGAGAGTATTCAATCATGAGGATATTGATCGTATATGTAATTCAGTGTTCGACGATAGTCAGCAATCCAGTTCATACTATGGCTATGATAATAATCATATGCCAAGTTTATTTAATACGTATCCAACAACAACGAATCAACAATATCTGTACACAACGCATAGCTCAACGTTCAATTATCCAGAACAACAATATTCGTACATTGAATACCAAATCCCGCCAAATACGTATCACCAGCCGATTGCTGACAATAATGTTGTATTGACAACTGAACCTTATCAACAACCAATTCCATCAATTCATTATGGAATAAACAACAACGACTCGAACTTGTACAATGTCGATCTTGGACTCAGTGAAGTTATATCTTGTAATACCAATATGCAAACAGAATCAGTACCATATGCATATGTATCAGAAAAGCCGATGTCAAAGTCCAACGACATAAAAGGCTTCAATCTTGATGAATGGCTGATTGTATCGGAGACAGGTGGAAAAATGCGTCGACCTCATCTACATGAATTTCTTCGAATATTACTTGATAATCCCAAATATTCGCATGTCGCTCAATATACTGATCGTAAAAAAGGAATTTTTAAATTTCTTGAACGACATGAAGCTGCTAAACTCTGGCAAGACGTTAAAGGAAGAAACTGTGATACTAGTACGATCATTTTCTCACTTCCATTCATTTGTCAACCATTGAACTTTGTTTTTTAGAGATGACTTACCAGAACTTAGCCCGAGGAATTCGTTTCTACTATCCAAATGGAACTATGAGTTCAGCTGGAGGTCGTTACACATTTCGATTTGGCTCGGGCTCGAGACACAAACGATTGAAAGTACCAGCAAATCACTGACATTACAGAAAGTGCCGTCATTCAGATGATGCACTTCGTTTTTCTGCGCTCGATTTCTTTTGTATTGATAAGTTTTTTTGTTTTTCATTTTTTTTATGTACGTTCGATGCAGTTTAAAATTGATTTGTAGTGATAAGCGACTCGTCAGACGCGACTAGTTTACAAAAGTTGTATACCCAAAATAGAATCGCTGTCTTCTAATGATAAGAACATCCAATATATAGATAAGCTGACTATGACTGATGGATTCGTTTGTATTTCAGGAATTATGTTGGCATTTACTAAACGAAATCCAATTGAAATAGCTGAATCAATCAGAAATCTCGATTCAGAATTGAATTCCGTTGAATTCATTCAACATTTGATTCAATACATTCCAAATGAAACAGAAGTAATGTATTACCAACCGGCAGGCAACCATGAGTCAGACTCAAAAATTTCTATTTCGCACAGTTGACTTAAAGATCACAAAGAGAGAGAGAGAGAAACTAGTTATTACGATTTCTATTCTCAACATATTTGCAAGTAACAATAACTCCACTGAAGGATTAAAATCAGTATTCGAGTGGCAAAAGCACTCTGTAATGCTAAGAACGAAATATGCTCTTGATCCTTTTGTCAGAATTGTCGTGAATGCTCTTGCTTCGACGTCAGTTGACTCTTTCATATACAATCGAAGTTTTGTCTCGTCTAAATTACATTCGATCCGTATGCAAATAAATAGCGTCATTTCGTCAACAAAACGAACGCGCCGTATACACCCATAAAAATTTCTCCAGAATTGACAATATCAATTGGATAAATTTCGTTTATAAATAGATCAATGCTTTCACTCGATTGTCACTTGCTAAAGAACAACTGACTCCTGCGGATCGACTCGTCTATGAGGTAGATCACACATAAAAATTTTTCTCGACGTACTGATCGACTTGTAAATTACAGATCTTACAAATCCCATTTTATATGGAACATTTAAATACCTTGAAATTCAAACTAATCTTCGCTGATAATTGTCAATTAATAACCGAGCAATTGCAACTGCTCTATGATGCCTGTGTCCTCTTATATCACTCCGCACATATCAAAAAGTTACTCGAAGTAAAGTATTCGTCGCGTCATTCGACCTTTATTCGAATTTGTATATTGACATTTAGATCATTCTCTCGGTTGTTAATCATCTGAATTCAACTCCGACACATCGGATTCTCACACTTGATGACCTATCAAAAGTTTGACGAAACGATATTTTTTGTTAGATTTTGAATCGTTCGATTATGATTAGGTAAGCGAATTGAAAACACCGAAAACACGTGTACCAATTATAAACATCGTTTCTCAAATATGCCGCGATCGACATCCGGAAATTTTCGATTTAAAAGACAATTATCATCTGATTTTCTCTGCAAGCAAAAGTAAATTTGTCGATTAGGAGAAACCTTTCGAGAAAAAACGTTTCTATTTAGTCGATCTCAATATAGTTAAGTACGAAATTGATCAAATGCAAAAAGAATTCCAAGTAAGCGAGTACCCATGCAAATTGTTTCATATTTGTGTTGAATACATTCTTCTTTCTCAGCAAATTCAATTATGGATTGAGAAACTCGACGTGAAAATAAATCTTCAAGTAAAACAGAAACATGCGAATGCGAAAAGATTTGTTATTCTCTTCTTCAAGACATTTCTCAGTAATTGTCGCGAGAAGTTGCACGAGATTGTCCGTTTATATCAACTAACAACTGATCAATATTCTAAAACAATTTCATATTTTACGCAACAAACAACAACATCTGTTATTTTTCTTTCAATCTTCGCCAATTTAATTCAATCGCTACAGGTTTGCGAAAGCAGAACGATAATCAGCAAACTGTCCTTCGATATTTTTCTTTTGCATAGATCAAACGACAAAACTAACGGTTCGTTTTGTTTTCTCAACTAAAACAAACATCTGACAACGCCTCAAATATTCGAACGACATGTTTAATGGATTGGGCAATGTTTTCTTTCGTCAAAAGAAAAAAAATTCTCTCAAAGTGAAACTTCATGTTTAATGTAATTCAACAAACACTTTTCCCTCTCTCTCCTCTTTTACCGCCTTCGACTTCACATCATTTATAAAAACGAACATTTTTACTTCATTTAAAGGAGAACGTAGACGTGTTTTGGTCATATTTTCATACAACAACACAGCATTAGAAAGCGAAAAAGATGGGTCTTACAGCCACTCAGATGAGCCTATGTTTCCAGTCCTATTGGTATATGTGGTATGTACAAATGGATAAGATTTGCAAATGAGTACATAGGATATATTTACAGGTTAACCAATGGACTTGCCGGATTAATTTTCATCGGTATTAATATCGGTAAGAAAAGTTGAAATTTGTTTTTGAGTGAATAACTTTTCGGAGTGTTCAGGTGTTGCTGCATTCTTTCTAAGAAAATTTCAATTGAAGAAACAAGCCAGTGCTTATGAACGAACACCACAAGTAGCAGATAGTTCGAAACGACCATTCTCAGCAAGTGAAATTCAAACGTACGAAGATCCATACGCCGATCCATATGCTGGAAATATCTCACGTGCTTCGTCACGTAAATCACGTAATGCCTTTCTTCTTTTGGAAGTTCATTGAAAAACTTTCGTTTGATTTTTCGTTCAGCAATGTATCCAGGTGCATCAGAAGACAATGAAGAATTTACTGAATCGACTCTTAAGCTCTTAAATGGATACCGTGCACGTCATAGCGCTGAACCGTTAACTGTCAATGAACAGTTATGTGAAATTGCGCAACGTTGGGCAGAACAAATGGCTCGTACTGGTAAATTAGAACATAGTCCAGCGGAAATGCGTAACTTCGGTCGACAAACGTTGGGTGAAAACTTCGGTGCATCATTCCAAGCTGAATTAACAGGTTTGTTTTGATCAATTCTCGATAGATTTCTTCTTCGATCGAAAAGTTTCGTTTTAGGCGACAAAATGGTTCGTAAATGGATGAAAGAAAGTAAACGATACATGTACGGTTTCGACGGTCGTAAAGATACAGAAAACTTCACTCAATCTGTTTGGCAAGGATCACGTGAAATCGGTGTTGGTCGCGCTCGATCAGAAGATGGAAACTGGTGGTATGGTGTTGTTGTATTCGACCCACCAGGTAACATTCCTAACCAATATTCCAACAATGTTCTCTTACCAAAAGAATAAACATGAACAAACCGGGTTTTTTTTCGTATTTATTGAAACTATACTTCCTTGCTCATTTTCAATCTTTTCGTCTATTGAATATATCAACAGTAAACATGTAATTTTCAACTTGTGATTGAATTAAATCAAGATTCTGTCTTCTAAGAGATATAATAAATTTATTGGCTCTCTAATTATCTCTGAAAATTTAATAAAAAAAAATATCGCCGGCAATCCATAAGGGTCATGGTTCGAGTTTTGATAGAATATGCATCGGTATGTATAATATTCGATTTTTAGCATCTAATAATATATATAACATAATAACGAGAAAAGTACAGAAAAACGAACAATTTTAACAACACGAATACAATCATATCACAATTTCCTAATTAAAATTGATTCATGAGTAATCGTTATCCCCATTTAAAGATAGATGCTAAGATATTTTTCGCCGAGTTCGAATGCGTTTCAAGATATTTTCGTGAAACGGGATGTCTATAGAAAATAGCGCGAAGTTTATTGATGATTTTATGACATTCGGCCACAGACACACACTGACTTAACGATTGTTGCACTAATTCCACATCTTTGACCACCTCATCCCATCCCGGCTCATTCGGTACTTCCCAAACATGATGATTGATTGTAATTCGCTGCATTTTCGGTCGCGACAACGCAGCACCAAACGATAATAATAAAATCAACAAAAAATAGAGCAGATATGAAGGCATATTCACGAAACCTAAAAATATATCATTAACATAGTTTTACACATATATATCTCGAGCAGAAGCGCACTTACAGACACGATCGTAGGAGACTATTCAATATGCATCACCTTACAACATTTATATGCTGTCAACTAATCCTTTTGTATATCAGACTCACCCACACTTTTTCTCTTGACATTTTTTTCCTCTTTTTCTTTGTACTCCAAGAATTTTCTAACTGCATTCATTATCACGTTCTGTGTGGCACTGCCGACGAAAAAAAGCACTTTTTTGACATACGAAGAATTTTTTCGAATCATTGAGATACAGAATACATGATCATGTTATTCATTGCAGTTTAAATCGAATGCAAATAGAATGACGATTTTTGGATGTAGATGTTTGCCAAAAGTACGTACGAATAACAACGTCAATATTGAATCATAATGACGTTTTGATCATCGAGAGTGACTGGAAGATTTTCAATTTATAGATTTGAAATTCTTATCTCGAAATTTCAAAATTTCGAAAAACAAGAGAAAAGCGAGATTACGCAGTTGCTTTACGATATTCAATATTGTGCATGAATCGGTGCTCTATTAATCATACTTTGGTAAATCCTATAAGAGAAGACTCTGATATTTTGAATACATTTGTATCATGTCATTTCTGATGAAATTTCAGAAGATTAGTGTGTTGAGTACGTCAGAAAAGTCATGATGATTTCAAGTGAATGACTTCATGCTTGCAGTTATCTGTAAATTTGCTGTGCTCCACTAGAAATCATATAGCAATTGAGTAATTAAACATGAAAGTACATCGAGTGGGAAAATGAGGACACAATGAACGAGAAACCGTTTGTAATGTTACTTGAAAATGATTTGAAATGAATTTAGTCGATGATTAGGAAGTTTTAATATCCTCTCAACATGAAGTTAAGTAGTTCATGACATATATATAAAGAAGATTATGTTGAGGGGTAGCATTCCAGTGATTATCGATTTACATGATCATGCAATGAACTATTGATCTACTCTCTGAACTTATTTTCAATCGTTCATTCTATTGTACAGAAAGATAAACTTCGCATCTCGTGTGAAATCTTTCTTGAATGATTAGTTACGTTTCACAAGTACTGAATTGACTAAACCAAGAAGGTATTGTCGAATGTGTATATTGGAACGGGAATTGCTGTTTATTAACTATATACAACATTTTGTATCAATGTTTCTATTATTATGAGGGTATCTATTCGCTATTTTCATAGGGTTTGTTCGAATTTGAAAATTTCGTGTTCTCGATCGTTGTTATAAAATCAATTAAACAAGTGATGCAAATCAGTTCAATCTACGAAATATCTTTCGATAAAGATTAGATATTACATTGAATGACAACGATGATACATTTCAAAATAGATTCTTCTATTAGAATAAACTATTGTATTCATCTTTTCATGCCTCGAACATCATCATTCATTGTTAGATCGATCTTTGTAATCGAACTATCTTGAATTTAAGGGGGTGTGTCAGGGTGTGGATGTATTTGTTTATTAAACTTGCTTTTCTGTCGTCTGTTCTCGACGGTGTGATGTTTATTTCGCTTGTATATTACAGTGTACTTTGATCTGCCGGTCTGATCATGTGTTGTTTTTCTCTTTTTTTGCGTTCTCTGACGCATGTTCTTATCCTTCTCCACGATTCTCAAACGTTATGTCCCTTGATTTTGTTTTAGTATAAATACTCGCAGCTCTCATTAAGTCAATTATACATTTTTCAAAATTCAATAACTGATCATTTGGTAAGTAGATGAATAATTTATTTTACATTGAGTGATATCCAATATCAATGATATTAGAGAAGAGAATACGTTTTGAAAGTGATTTTTTTTCTGTCAGAAGAAAGACCGAACCCTGGAAAAGAATAACCTATATGTTATTTTCGAGAAATAGCGATCGATCAGAATAAGATCCAAGTTTTCAAGCGCACCATACTTGACTAAATTAGATTCTCTCGACTTAATATTCATTTTACCTTTTTGTAAAACATGTCTTTTCTAGTATTCCCTTCTTTAGGCATATTTTTTCCAATTGAGTTGCAGTTCGATATTTTTTCAATATGAATAACCTCCGACGCATTTCACCAACTTAACCTTATAATGAACCCGTGTTGAAAAAGAAACATGCGATTTTTGGACAATTAATTGCGTTTAAGCGAAGTTCTTTTGGATCTTCAAACTTACTGTCTCCGTGAAGCACACCATTTCTCATTTCGACGATGGAACACACAGACTGACACCTCCTTTTTTTGTATTTTTCTCTACGAGCTGAATAAATTCGAGACTATTATTTATATGCTCTTTATTACAATGTTTACCAGTCACGCTATCAGTGTCTCTGTTGAATTTACGCTGTACTTTTAACCCTTGATTAGACAGCCCGAGAAATGAATATTCGGAGTTAAATATATCTATGTAATGATAAATTGTGCTTACGAGGACTTTGTTCTGCATTATCCGTTTTTGGTACATTTGCCTCATAGCATTTTCTTCTCGTTCTGTCTTTATTGGACCCTTATGGTCGGGTACACCAGCAGATCGGTTATAGGTATCGAGTGCGAAAATACTTTTTATATTCCTTATGTCAACGTGTGACGATGTTTTGCACGATTAGGGCAATGTTGTACATGTGCTTTCGAAGATTATATAGATTGAAATGTAAATAAATGAATAAGAATTGAGGAAGAGTACTATTAAGCTTATTTTTCAGTGTTAAATAAACAATTTGAAATTCAAAGTTCGAAATATTGTTTCTGTCGAGGATATAGGCATAATATATTCGATGATTTTGTTTAGTGTCAAGTACAACTTTTCGTCCTTTTTTCCTTTCTGTTTCTGTTTCTTTCTCTTTCCTCTCTATTCGATCTTTGCCCTCGACCGAAGTATAAATACTAGCGTACTTCTGTATATTCTAACATAATATTCAACCGTAGTTAACCACGATTGGTCACGAAATAATCAGGTAATGTGTTCTAAGCTTTTTTTGTTTATAGAAAATGACTTCATTCTCGTTGAGAGTTGTACGCTGAGATAAGATAAACCGTGGTTTCTTCGAGACCTGAAATGCGTTTTAGCATGACTTCATATAGAAAAAAATAGCAATTAATTATGTACTTTTTCCCATTCACTGATTCGTGTATAACCTGACTTTGATGATTAACTGGAAGAAAATCATGTAATGCGAAAACAAGTGAAAGTAAATCAATATATTTTTGAATCGGATGTTATAGAAAAAAAACGAGAAGTACTGCACTAGGTAGTTTTCAGTCTTGAAAACAGAATTATAGATGTTTTGATTGAATTTCTTCTTTTTCTTCATTGGAGTTTAGTTATTTTTCTTATTACCATGACCGGTAGATGAGAAAGCAGATTGTTCAGCTGTTTCACCATCTGTTGTATTTTGTTGCTTTTGTTTGGGTTTACTGGGTACTTTTAGTGAACTAGTAGCTGCTGCTTGAGCAAGAGCTCGTTCACGTCGACGTTTCATATGGAACTAAATCGAAAAAAGAGAGTTTCATTCACACGAGAGTCTTTCGTTAGAATCCTTACCTGGATAAAATTCCAAACTAACCAAAATTGTAATGCACCGCTGACAACTAAGGTAAAAAATCGAACTGTTGGAGTGTTAAAGTTGGAAATGAGAACTCCGTCTTGATCCGTTGGTGTAAGGGATATTTTATCAACTGAAGTACTTCGTAAACCGAACCAGAATGTTAACCAGATTAAAACCACGGAAATCAGTCGACCGGAAATAAAAACTGCGTTCCAAATTTTAAATAAATATTCTAATGTTGATTTTGTCGAGGCCGAGGTCGTTTTTCCCGTAACATAGAAATGAGCTAAACGCGACGCATGATAGAAGATTTCGATTAAATAGTGAACTGTCAATAAGACTATTGATATACGCCAAAACCGGGTCAAATAAGCGTAGAGAATAGTGATCAAATATAGACTTGTATAAACAAGACGAGACGGAATATCTTCTTTGCGAACTTTTTGTAAATATAATTCCGGATAATTATGTAACCAATAGGATAATTGAACGATAAAATAGAGCTTTGTCCACGCTGTCATGCCAGTATAGGGATAATCACGCCAAAGATACGATAAACCCGATTGAAAATACTCTTCATTATTAAACAACATCAATGCCCACACAACGCTAACCACATAGAAGAGAATAAGTTGACCGGATTCGAAAAACTTGGCAATTTTCGCTTTGGATAAATGAAGTTTCTTATATATTTTGTCTAAGACATATTCTTGCCAGATAGCATGGACGGTAATACACACAAGTGTGTAGGCAAAGAGCATAGCTAAATCTTTATAACCATAGTTGAAAAGTGGAGGTGTTGATGTATTAAATGAATCGAATTGTGTAACATTATGACGAGGACCAAAGAATGCGCCACAATAAGCTGATGTTGCCTGAATGATCGTTCCAACTGCTAAGAGCATTAGAATTCCACTTGTAATATCACCTGAAAAGAGAAGATATGTTTCGATTGAGATGAGAATGTCGGAAAGTTACCGTGATTTTGAATAAGAAATTCTTGACTAAAGAAAGGTGGATTTTTCGATGCACCTTTCTTCTTTAGTACTGCTGCTGGTGGCGGCATCGTAAAGTTTCTAAAGTTGATCTGAAATAGAAATAAAGACTTAATACTTATCTATACTTGTGTTTAATAGATAAATAAACAAGATGGACGTTTATGCTCATGCAAATAATTCACTCAATGGGTTACCACCGAAAATTCGCGAATATGTTCAAGAGAAAATCGCTTTGTGTCAACCAAGTAATTTTCATGTTTGTGATGGAAGTGAACAAGAAAATCAAGAATTACTTGATGCCATGGAACAAGCCGGTGTCATTCGCCGTCTCAAAAAGTATAAAAATTGGTAAGATTGGAGGAAAGTTTCCATTCGAAAGCGAAAATGTTCGTTGTGATTTTTAGTTATATCGCTACAACGGATCCGCGTGACGTTGCTCGGGTTGAATCACGCACTATCATCTGTACGAAGAACATGAATGACGTTGTATCAACACCTCGTTCAGGTTTTCCACCTGTAACAGATCCCAATCTACCAAAAAATCTCAAACAAACACCATTAGGCAACTGGATGGATTCAGATGAAATGCTGGAAATCATGGAGAAACGTTTTGCCGGTTGTATGCGTGGTCGTACCCTCTTCGTTATTCCATATATGATGGGTCCATACTCCAGTCCGTATTCGAAAGTTGCTATTGAGATAACAGATTCACCATACGTTGTTGTCTCCATGCGAATTATGACACGTATGGGTACACAAGTGTTCAAAGAACTGAAAGTACCTGACGGTTCAACCGTTGTTAAATGTCTTCATTCGGTTGGTGTGCCATTGCCATCGGATAAACCGGTGAGTTCAACATGGCCAAGTAATCCTGAACAAACGTTGATCACACATTTTCCGGAACGAAATGAAATTATCAGTTTTGGCAGTGGCTATGGTGGAAATTCTCTTTGTGGCAAGAAATGTTTAGCTTTACGAATTGGAAGTACTTTAGCTAAACGAGAAGGATGGTTAGCTGAACATATGCTTGTAAGTATTTGACGAATACTGGACGGAATCGACAGACATCATCTTCTTTTCATCATATTTAGATTATGAGTATCACCAATCCAGAAGGCGTGAAGAAGTATTTTGTTGCTGCGTTTCCAAGGTAAGGAAAATGTTAAGACGATGAATCTTTTTCTATATGTCGATCATTTAGTGCGTGCGGTAAAACGAATTTGGCTATGCTTCGTCCAAAGGGTCTTCCCGGTTATAAAGTTGAATGTGTCGGTAAGTAAACATTAAAAGGAGTCTTCATTGTAATTTGAAAATTAATTCTCAGGTGATGATATTGCTTGGATGCATTTCGATGAGGAAGGTCGTTTACGAGCAATCAATCCTGAATTTGGATTTTTTGGTGTTGCACCAGGCACCAGTAAATCAACGAATCCAATTGCATTGGGTAAGCATCGAATACCAGCGAATTGATTAACCGTTCTAAATGTAACATTGTAGATATGGTACATGAAAATACGATTTTCACAAATGTTGCTGAAACCAGTGATGGAGATGTCTACTGGGAAGGAATCGACCAAGAAATCGATGGACTTCATGAAACTCTAATTCGTTCATGGAAAAACAAAAGATGGTCGGTCGATTTAGGCGAACCTGCTGCACATCCAAACAGTCGGTAAGAAGTCAAAGAAAAATCTTCATCAAAATGAAAATCAAACAATTTCTCTACAAATATTTAGTTTCTGTACATCAATAAAACAATGTTCCATTCTCGATCCTGAATGGAATAATCCTCAAGGTGTACCGATTGAGGCGATTATTTTCGGCGGACGACGACCGGTCGGTGTGCCACTAGTCTTCGAATCTTTCAATTGGCAACACGGAGTTTTTGTCGGAGCATCGATGCGATCAGAAGCAACAGCTGCAGCTGAATTCAAAGGTAAAAGGAAAAGAAAAACGCTCAATGTTTCCACACTCTCGAGGTCTGTTTTCTTCTGTCTAGGAAAACAAATCATGCACGATCCATTTGCTATGCGACCATTCTTCGGATACAACTTCGGACAGTATCTTTCTCATTGGTTATCTTTTGGAAAGAAGGAAGGTCTTCAGTTACCGAAAATCTATCATGTCAATTGGTTTCTCAAAGATTCTCAAACGAATCAATTCTTATGGCCGGGCTTTGGTGAAAACATTCGAGTGATTGATTGGATCTTCCGTCGTTTAACAAATGACTTATCTAAAAAAGCATCAGCTCAAGAAACACCTATTGGTCTTATACCTGATCAAAGCACATCGGATGGTATTCGTGGCGGTGAAGTTAATCCAGCGCTATTGGAAGTTTCAAATGATTTCTGGCTCTCCGAATGCAAAGCTATAAGAAATTATTTTGAAGAAAACGTCAACGAAAATTTACCAAAAGAAATTACTTTAGAATTAGATGCACTTCAAAAGCGTTTATCACACTCAATATGAGAATATATCTAATCCTTACGAACACCTGTTTTATTTTTTCTTTTTCTCTCTTTTTTTTTGTATGTATGCATCCGCTTATCAAGTTATCTTGTTCTTTGTATGGTTTGAATTTATATATATATATATGCATATGTGTGTTGTTTTTACTATAGAATCAAAACACAAGACAAAGACTTTGAGTTTTTATTATTATTAATGGGATACACATTTTATACACGCCTAATCTAAGTGTAGAAGGAATGAAATTGTATATTGATATCTCGTTCTATGCTTCGCTTTCCGATGCACTTGACGATGAGGGTGAGCTAATGCCATTATCTAACGTTTGAGCTGAATGTGTTTGAATAGGAGAGGTTTGCTGTTGCATAATAGTCGTGACATCTTGATTAATGCCATTGATTGGAACGATTAAGTTATCTTTAGGAATTAAACCATAACGTAAAGCAAAGACGGTAAAACGGCGACAGAGATGTGTACGTTCTTCGAAATCATCGTAAAGTGTACGATGATGATAGTAAGCATGAGAAAATATACGGTAAATGCGACGACAAACACTGCCTAATTTGGCTATGGAAGTATCTTTGATAGAGATTCTGCAGACAAAACAAAGGTCGTTTTTAGGAAAGTATTCGAGATGAACTATTCTCAGAAGAATTTCTCTCTCTCGAAAAAAAAACACTTGTTTCAAAAGTTATACTTACCGGCTGGGAAAATATTTACTACTATTCAAGAGAGAAGCAGCACCATCGAGGGTGTGTCTGGTATAATCGATTGCTGGACACTAAAGTAAAAACGTGTTTACGTTGGGATCGACAAGATTACAACGAACTTCTTTCGGATTTTTATGTGCTGCACATAAGAATATCCATTGTTCAGTTGCGGTCATCTGTGTGCAAGTATCTGGTAAACATTCTTTCTATAAATAAAGACGAAAAGTTGAGAATTCAGTCTAGATGGAAATATTTTTTCGATTACTTGCAGAAAAACGGTTAAATCGTTAAGTTCCAGACAAAATTGTCTGAGATGTTCATATTTCCATACGCCTTCATCCTGCTGGTCAGGTACTTTTAATATCGCATCAATATCCGATGGATTCCGTCGAATAATTTGTTGGATATACTAAACAATCAAGCATAAATCATTCGGAGATTACCATTGACAATCTCACTTGTTGAATATGATAGAGTGAGTCCATACTATCTAGAGTTTCATCTGGCCAACTGCACCAGTCGCTTGCTTTGGTGCCTGGCCGGTTTCGACGTAATGACTTCGATGCATTCGTCATATCTAAAATATTCAAAGCTATTGCTAAAAATTTGATCAATTGAGATTCCAAATTTAAGGAAGATGACATATACATAAAACTGATAAACTACATCGTTAAAAAATTTGTTTCAGTCAAACGCAATGCTATCTGATGCTAATAATTGAAGAATATCCGCTAAATCTTGTTGATTATGATAAGCGATAAAAGGTGCACATGCATAATCTTTGGGATTGAAGTGAGATGAGCTGATTTTATTGTAAACAATCTGAAATTCTGTTAAATTGAGATTCACCAGAGATTGATTTTGTTTGTAAAAATCTAAAATTTGACGCAGATCAAGTATTTGACCATTGATTGATAAAATGATAGCATGAGCGGCACATAGATCCCAATTATAGGCAGCAGCCTTGGTTACTAGAAACACGTTTGCTTGTTTCAATGCAATGGCCAATAGTTTATTGCCTAAAAAATACGAATCATATGGAAATTCACAAAATAGAAGCCATTAAGCTGGACTTTGATCTTGAGAAGGACTAGACTCTATCGAAATGTGGTTAGAGGTAGAAATTAAGTACAAGTGGGTTAGTAACTAATCATTACTATGATCGTGTATGTTGTAGAGTACGCTAGTCACCGATGGTGACAAATAAGCGAAGAAAAAGTATTCACATAGGATTCAAAATGCAAATATCGCTTTCTTCTGAGACAAAAAAAAAGAATATTTACGCACCACATGCAGACACTTCTAGTTTGGTCCAATTTTGGAACATATTATTAAATGTACTTGTGTTTACACTTCCATGCAATAGAACTTGCTTATCGTTGCTTCTAGTTTCTTTGCATACATCATCTAAATTATTGAATTTTCCATCAGGCAATGCCGTGCCCCAATAAATCAAACTTTCCCATCTAAAAAAATCAATGGATACTGAACAACTGTTGTTTATTCTTTTCTAACTTACTTAAATGCATCGATTCGTTGATGAAATGCTCGGTTAATGACTCCAATAATCGCATTGCCATGTCGAATATCAAAACAACCAATAAGTACCAAAGCTGTTGGAAGACCATCTATGGTAATGCCCGTGTGTGAATCGATAATTCCATCTGTACCATTGATATACTGCTGTGTGCCATCGACCGGATCAATCCATATACCAATGTTAGATAAATCAATGGAAAACTGCTCTGGAATTTTTCGAAGTGAATGTTGATAGTGCTCTGGGAGAGTGATATCAAAAGACGAAGAAATAATATTAGCTAATGTTTCGATCGATTGACTAGATTTGTTATTGAACAATTGTTCTATACGATGAAAAGAAAACAATCGAAAATTCAACGAATCAGTGAAATTTCTTACTGAGAAGAGTAACAATATCTTCATCGGTACCGGTAACATCAATAACAATCTTTTCAGCGCTTGATTGCAGCTTTAATGATCCATCTTCTTCACCAAAGATACGTTGGTCCAATCTCGGATACTGAAGTAGATGAACTCGACTTTCCGGAAGGAAACATTATGTCTGAATTATCTTACCAGCCTTACTAGATCTCGTTTAATGACTTCCTGAATGATAACATCACTTAAATGGAACAGAAACATAGAATAAATTAGTCGAAAGAATTGAATTTACGCCAGAGTTTTGTAATCGGCATCGAGATGTTGATGGTTTTCATCGACTAAAAAAAAACAGAATACTCTCACAGTATAAAACGACGAGACAATAATCGAGCAAATCATTACGTTGTTTCTCTTGAATAATGCTGTTGAAATCGGAATGCATAAAACGAATATAACGAGCGATACATGCTGCTCTTTCGGAACAAATAGCTATTTGAAGTACAAAATCACGTAATAATACTGATGACATGATCTAAAAAAGACAGTTCGAAAAACAAATGTGACACATTTTCTTTACCATATGGTACAAACTATTAATGTGGTACTCGATCTCGAAAAAAAAATCGTACGAACGCAATATGGATTAATGAAAGCATTCGAAGGATTTCGACTAAGACTGTACGCAAACGAGAATGTCAGACAAAAAATGTTTCCAATAGTGGAGAGAAAAAAAATGATAAGTTTTCTATGCCCGAGGACAGAATTGAACTGTCGACCCCTGGTTTACTAGACCAGTGCTCTAGCCACTGAGCCACACGGGCGCACTTCTTTCTGACAAAATCGATTTATTCCATATGGTAAAGCAATTTCGTCAAGTTTGGAACATTAGATTTGCGCACTGGCTTAGTCATAGATGTTTACGCAGCCAAAAATATCTTCGCTGATAGGAAGAGTGAGTTAGTGAGCCGAAATTATTATTGACATTATTGAAAAACCAACACAAAGACGGACAAACAAACAGACAAAATCAAAAAAAACTTTCTTTACTGTATGAACAGCAAACAAAGTAGATGTACATGACAATATTATATTCACAGATCAACACGTGAACCCAGTGGAATTGTTCGGAGCTCATGCTTTTTGGAGAAATGTTCCGAGAGAATCGTCATAATGACAATGGAGAAAAATTGTACAACATACCAAGAGAAAACATTCGGATATTGAGAATTATATACCCAACAAGCAAGGAAATGATAGAAATGAACTGTTAAAGAAAAATCTAGACATTGTTTATATCGACCAACAAGATAAACAATTGCTAATCCACTAGAATGAAATACACGAACATGAACGATGATCTCAACACCGATAGATTTACCTTGTTAGAGCATTGATGAAAAAGATGCTAACAAATAACGGTTCACTCCAACTGGAAAGCTTCAGTTTCTAAGCAAAGCATTCAAAATCAATTGACATAGAACCATGCTCAAGCAAATTTAGTTACTTTGTATGAAAATAGATAATCAAGTGTAGGCACTTGATTATCAAACAATGTTAGCAAGAAAACCCAACATCCCAGACCGAAATAATATAAGGTTTGAACTGCAATAATCTGACTAATGATTAACCATGGATCCCATTTTTGACTACGAAATCCGCTCATGATAGTAACTCAAGTATGTCTGATCATATCTATAAAAACAAAGGAAAATTTTCATCTTCTTGTTATTTAAGATCTTCTAGTCGGTTTTTTATTTCTTTTAACGAAATAGAAACTGTTTTCTTGTTCTCAAATCGATAAACAATAANGGAAGGTAATTGATGAATTGAAAAAGTGAATGAGAATGGAAAAATAAATAAGTAAATAATATGGATGGGCAGCGATAAATTGAATAAAATGAAATTCATCCATTGGCGAGTGACTGTACCTTATTTTTGATATTTCACTTAGAAAAAAATTTACTCGAATAACTAGCTAAGAATAAATAATTTACTAAAACAATAACTATTCATTAAGTTTTCTGTACAAATTAAATCAATTCGTTTTTCGTGCTAATCATATAGATGGCGCTAGATGCCACACCTATTCGTTGAGGAATGGGTATATCAAATACTTTTGAATGTGAGTGAAGTATTTTTAGGAATGATGACAATTCAATTGTTATCAGTCAAGATAGTGCGAGGACAAGAAATAGTGCAACCAATTTCATCCAGAATCTTTTTCGGAAGAAAGTCGATTGCAATTGCACAAATGATCACTGTTTTCGTTCGAATAAAATAAGAAACTTGATATTTTAAATCGTTTTTTTATACGAGAAGAACGTCATACTGTTTTCCATTTAAAATATTTTCAGGGAATGATATCGCTGTCATTGCAAACACATTACACAGACTAATCTATGAAATTAGTACGAAGAAAATTAGTTTTGAAAGGCTTTACTTTTTCCCTATGTGTTTTCTTTTCAAAAGACCGAATCTACTAAACGATTTCATTAATAAAAGTCCCTAACAGTAATCTCTTTATAAGAGTCTATGTTTTTATATATTGCAAATCATTCCTTCCTACAACAGAACTATGTTGGCCGTTGGTATTACGCTTGTGCTTGCTGCTATTGCGGCTACAGCTAATGGAATAACGTTAGAATACATCGAGAACGGTAAGATCTGTAGCGCATGGCAATATATGTCTGCCTCGGAAGTTCAAGTTGAGACAACGAAATGTGCCAGCAGTGTGGGTTATGAGTTGAATGTACGTGATAGTATGTATATCATTCGTTTTTGTTGCACATATAATGGCGGGACGAACCCATCCATTGGACCGGCACCTGCTGGCTGTGGCCGTCAAGCTTTTGCTCCATTACAATCCCGTATTGTCGGCGGACAAGAAGCAAAACCACATTCATGGCCTTGGCTTGTTTCTCTTCAATATCGTGGCAATCATTTCTGTGGTGGCACTTTGATAGTAAATTATACAGAAGAATCGAAATCCATTTGTATAGTATGAGTCTATTTTAGGATGCGTATCACGTCTTGACTGCAGCTCATTGTCTTCAAGATCAATCATGGTTTAATTCAGATTTAACTGTTGTAGCTGGTCTTCATGCACGAAGCAAAACGAATGTAGCTGGAGTACAACGTAGACAAATTTCTAAAATTGTCAACCACCCTGCTTACAGTGATCTGACAAACCAAAATGATATTGCCATCATACGTTTAGCTTCACCTGTGACACTCAATAGTTATGTCAACGTTGCATGTCTTTCCGGAAAGCAACCTGCTCTCAATGATAATGTTATGATTGGTATGTAGATTGAAACTTTGTACGTAGAAAGTTTCATTCCATTGTTTTTCAGCTGGTTGGGGCACGACAACATACGAAGGTATGTCACCTGACTCTCTTCGTCAAGCTGGTATTGTTATTATGGATGTATGCAAACATGTCTATCCGCACTATGATACAGATAAGCAATTATGTGCTGGTAATTATCAATATAGTCGAGATTCCTGTCAAGGTGATTCGGGCGGTCCACTCATGTCGGAAGCGAATGGTCAATGGACTGTCAGCGGTGTGGTCAGTTTCGGTGACGAATGCGCTAAAGTGAATAAACCAGGTGTATATGCTCGTGTTAGCTATTACCTTCCATGGATTCAAAACAGCATTTCAGTCCTATCAGGAAAATGAAGTGAACTAATGTCACTAACATAAAAGTCTATTCTACTCTTTAAAACGATGACATGCTGATGACACTTTGTTTTTCTTTTGATCGATTTGCAAAAGTTCGAAAAAAATGAAAAGTACATCAAAGAACGAAACACGAAAATGTCAATTGATATGTAACTTGTTGGATTAATCAAATAATCCACAGAATTCTTCGAACGAGATTCTTCCATCTCCGCTTGTATCTAACGATTTAATCATTGCTTCGACATCGCTTCGACTTAAATGTCGACCCATACGAGCTAGAATATCGGCTAATTCCTTTGTCGATATGTATCCATTTCCATCGGCATCGAATTTTTTAAAAGCACTCATTAATTCTTGTTTGGAATACTTCTTAAAAAACGAAGCAGCCATGACTTTTTTAAATTCATCGAAATCGATTTCTCCACTTCCATCTGCATCCATTTGCGCCATTAACTGAGATAATTCCTTCTCATTTGCTTTGATGTTTAACGCGTGCAACACTTTTTTCAGCTCATTTTTGGAAATTCGTCCTGAACGATCTAAATATTTCGAAGTCCAAACTTTTATTCGCTCTTCTGACATCGCACAGCAATACATACCACTATCGAAGAGATCAAAAGCGTCGTGCAATTCTCGTTCTTGGCTTGCTGTAAGTTTAGTCATGATGTAATGTCTAGAATAAGATTTTTTTCTTCTTCAAATAACTCCGTTAAAGAATTTCTTCTCTTGTCGTCATTTTTTTTTGTTTGTGTCATTTGTTGACACAGAAAAAAAAGTTTGATCTTCCTTCTCGTCGTTATAATCGACGAGAAAAAAGAACGGATAATTGAATTCCTACCGTTTATATCAGACTAGAAGAAAAAGAAAACGTGAATAGGTTTTTGTAACCGTAACCATTGTAACTCTTCGGAATATACACTTCTTTTCACTAAAAAGCAACTTTTCTCAGGGTTAAAGTGTTCTATTTATAAAAACAACTGAATTTTTGCCGATAAGCAGATTACGAAACTAGTCAAGAGCTTGTCAATCTACAGAATCGAACGGTACCATAGTGATAACGATACATGAGTCATCCTCGCCTTGTCGAATCTTTTCAACTGATGTAATAACTGTCAAATATTGATGCGAAATTTATTTTATTGCTTGATATAAAGACGCATGCTCTAGTCGCATACAAAATATATCATAATATAATATGTCTCGTCTACAATTGATACGAAATTGCTCAATCAACCGATGATGTCAATTGTCTCATCCATCGTTAGTTCCCTTTACCACATTCGAAATACCGTCATTAGTCAGACATGTTTGTTCAGGTAGATTTTATTAAAAAACTACAGAAAACGTCCTCGATCACAAATCTTTGCCTGTTGTTGAAGTATTCGTATTTCTATAAATTTGCAAAATATTCCGCTGTAACTCCAAACGTTCAAGTTTTTCTTTAGCATTGCGTTGACGATACAAATCCATGGCTGTCGGTGGTTGAATACCTAAAAGAAACAGACTAGACAATCGATCCGATATGATTCAAGCGAACAACCTTGTTTTTGTTTTTCTCTTTCGAAAAGAACATTATATGTAATTACAATCGACAGCAATACAATCGATGCCATGGCAATGGCAATTCGTTGTGGTGTTTTTTCTGGTTCAGCTAGCAATGCACGTCGAATTCTGCGCTGTACATTCTCAGAGATTCGCTTTGCGAATGTAAATACCATGATCTGAAAGAACGAATATGCTCTCATTGTCTTCATCGCTTTTATTCATAGTTTCATAATCACAGAAAATGAAGAACTTTGTTATTATTCTGTATTATTTCTTTTGCTTGTTTCACACACGCATTATGGATTTTGATGTTTTTGATGAACAAAAAAATGCCTTATCTAACGCGTCAAAGAGTAAATCAAATATGAAGAAGGAAACGACTATAAACAAACAAACACGCGCACACATAAACAGTCCTAGAGAGAAAGTTTTGCTTGTTGAATAATAACGAAACAAAAAAGAGAGAGAGAGAGAAAAAGCCAAAATAGGACGCTCTTCATCATCATTTTTCCATTGATATATACATGTTATTATGAGTAAAGAATATATGTTTTTGTCGACGGAGTAGAATGGATTGGTTTCTTTTTGAAGCACAAAAAAAATTGAAGGAAAAAATAAAAAAAATGAAGAAGATTAAGAAAAGAAGAACTCCGTGAATGAATGATTATTTCATATAGACAAATATAAATAAATAGAATTAGACCAAAGGAATAAGAAGAGAAACAACACGTAAAGAGAAACCAAAGAGAGATTTGATTCGGACAAGCTCGAATTTGTGATAGATACGACAGTTGAAGGAAATGCCATTGAAGCTTTGTTTTCAATTGAGATCAAGCAAAGGAACGAAAGACATGACGATCAAGTCATGGGTGAGCGTTCTAGCGAACCTTCACGACTATTATTATCTTTCTGGCGACTGGTTAAATTATCCATTTTGTATCGACGACGTCTAGAAATTCAAAAAAGAAAACTTTTATTATCGAATTTACATGAGAATTTCATGGCAAACAAGTGATGTCACATATGTCTGAACAAATTAACAAACGAGACACCGAGCGAGAGTGATAAATGAAAGAGATTAGATGGAGAATAGCGATGGGTGTTGTATTTGTAATTTTGTATGAAAAGATGTGAGCAAAAGATGTTCGATCGACATTATTGATATAAAAGATAGAAATTTAGTCTACTGGGAAGATCGATCTTCAACTAGAAGGTATACAAGTACCTTTTTTTTGTGCGTATAGCCTTTACTACAAAACAAAATTAGAAGGTCTGTCTGGTAAACATTCGATTACGAAATCTCAAGTTCGGACAGATTTGCCTTTCAAATCAAACTAAAGTTGATCGATCAATTTGCTCTGTAATTAAAACATTGTTCATTCAAGTGTATGCGTTAGAACAACGAATTGAAAAATCTCATTTCTTTCATTATTCAAAGTCGAATAGACATCGAATACATAGACTAATATGCATGAAACATTCATTTATGCCTATCTAGCAATTACTAACGAGAGATATATTTAGAACGATATAATCCAGCTCTCATGCTCCTTGTTTTCTTTCGTTTGACATCGATGGATCTTATCATTCGATGATAGATTTGCAACAATTGCTCTCCAGTCATGTTTTCGACATACCTTGCATTCTGACTGGGTATACCAGGTGGTGGCTTTGGTAAATGACTAACAGTTGATGAACTAGATATATCGTCAAGTAATAAATTACTTGTAGATGTTGAATGTTGCATAGGTGGCGCACGTCGTGGAAAGTCCGTCATTCCAGTTAAATGACTGTGTTGATCGATATTTCCATTACTGGTTGAATTACCAAACATACTACCGACGATAGCTGTTGTGCTGTGAGCGTTTGTACCATTGTTGTTTTGGTAGTAGAATGAAGACGAATAATAAGGATAGAGATTATTGTTCGGAGCTGAAGTTAAGATCGTTGAAGTGTTTAGATTTGAGCCTGAGCGATTAATTGAGGGTGATTGTTGATAATAGATATGATGTATGTTTGCTGACGAACTCGACGGTGATTCGAATAAATCTTTATAAGATTTACTACGCTGCATTCGATCAGCAAGATTACTTGACATGGTCGATTGTTTGTTGAATGGATTGGCAGAAGAGAGATTCACTCGTGATCCTAAATGTTGTGCTTGTCGTGTAACAAAGTTACTAACTGATTTATTCGTGGACGGATTTAATGATGATTGTTGAAAGGACGTTCGTCGGGACGAATTATTGGTTTGATGATAACCATTGTTGTTGTTGTTGGTATTGTTATTCGCAGCATTTTTTTCGTAGAACATGAGCTTTTTATAGAAATCATCGCCGCGATGAGTTTCAAATGATGCCGACGAAATACGATTACCATTTGAAAAACGTTGTTGATCACTTTTCGACTCTTCCACATTTTCATTAGGACTTGCTTCGTCGTCGTTTTGATCTAAATAAATATGTGAAATTAAGTGAGCGAGAACACTTCGGTTTTCTTCTCTTGTTAAATATTAGAATCGCTTCGATAACGATTGATGATGATGAAACAGGAAGCGAAAACTACTGTACAATGTTAGTTAAACTAGAGATTAATGTTATTTACAAAAAACACGTGCAAATGAGCAGTTAGATGTAGTCATCGTTGTTTCATTTTTCTCTTCGTTGATTTCTTACTTAAGCTTTGAATAACTGTCGATGACTGAGAGTATTTCTGTTGATAATTTTGCTTGAGAATTGACGTTGGAGAATTATCTTTTGTTGTGATTTGAAATAATGAAGTAGGTGGAGTACTTGGTGGTGTACAATATTTAACAAGACTATCGTTAGCAAATGAACGATTTAATTGCTCAGTTGATTTAGCTATTAAACGTGTCCCGTTGAATGGCGCTGGAACGAAATTGTATCCACGAGGTCTTAAATGCTGTTGCTGTTGTTGTTGTTGTTGCTGCTGCTGCTGCTGGAATTCATCGACATGTAAAGATGATGAAGAACTTGATGAACCGGATGATGCAGGTCGAATCGACGATGAAACACCAATTGTACGTGGCTCATAAACTGGTTTGCCGTTTCTTGACGGTTGATACTGATGTTGAATGCCTGCTAAATTACCTCCTGAACCTGTATTTCCATTTCCTGCTTTCATCATCATCAATATTGTTGAAGCACTCTGGCTCGGTCGTACCGAGGTATCAACGAATGAAGATGAAGGAATATTCTTAGAAAAACTATCACCAATTACAGTTGATTGCATACTTGTTTGAGAATAGATTTGTCCATTGTCTTTACGAAGCATCTGTTGTTGTTGTTGTTGTTGTTGTTGTTGTTGTTCTTGATGATGATTTTGTTGTTCATCTACCTCCCCTTCATGTTCATGATGAAATTCTTCTTCACCCGCAACTTCCTCTTGTTCATATTCATCATCTGACAATCGATTAGCACCGGCATAATTAGTAATAGTAGTCTGATTGGTTATTAGACTTGGTGGATGACGAGGAAATGCATTCGCTAATATATCGTTTGGCACAGATGTTGTCGGTGGACGAGATATAGGAGTTGTACTTATTGAAGTTCGATAGTTTTCAAACGGAAAATTTTCTATATATGCTTGTTCATTTGGACGCAACATACACTCTTTTTCTAGGAAATAAATAGATTTAGATTTTTGATTCTCAATTAATTCGAATATCGATAGATATTCTACTGAAAAAAAGTCTCTGATCACGTGTGTAACCTACGTTGATTTTCTAAGCCATCATAACTGTTCAATATTCCTGTATTGGATGTTTCCTCCATTCCTCGCAGCAATGGTCGATGATACTGTTGCTGGCGACCGCCATTAATGATGCTTGTTGTTGTAGTAGTTGTTGTTGTTAATACATTGCTATTCGTTGCCGTGACCAAACTCGAACCATTATTACTGTTCAAAATAGTGGCATAGGTTATTGGAGTTGATGATGATGGAATCTGCTGAATAGTATTGTTTATTATTGTTGCAGATTGTGTATGCGCTTGAAGTTGTTGCTGTTGCTGTTGTTGTTGTTGTTGTTGTTGACTGTTCATTGTGGACGGAGAAAGTGGATTATTCACAGGAGGTGATGATGCTGGAGGTGGAGGAGATGATGAAGAAAGGATATTACCCGTAGGTAATAGAGATGGAGTTTGAGCTTGTGCTGGATGATACAGAGATGGCTCTTGTGTTGTGCTAAACAAAGAGAAGCCGGATTAGGAAGAGCGTTCTTTCTTGTTTTCGAAATTAAAAAAAAGTTAGTTCAGAGTACGTTTGTCGAATCCATGATTCTTAGCAAGTTTGAAAAGAGAAAATCAAACAATGATCATTCCAGACTGACCTTTGAAGTTTTTCTTGTGCATCTTCCCATTTAGCACTATGTTGATTGTCACTACCTTCATCGTCAAGATTATCATCTAATGATATCATCCACTGAGACATAACGGTTTGAGGTCCAAGTTTCATTGCATAAGTTGCGGCCGGTATTGAAATTGCTTCACTATCACCGCCACGATTGGTCGTTTGTCGTGTTGTTGGTGCTATTGCATCACTGCGGCTATTGGTTGTTCGATTCGAACGTGGTGTTTTCGGCGGTTTACCATGTTCTGTACCACCGGCAGATGTATACATCACATTAGACATTTGATTAGTACCAGGTGAAGGTGATTCATCGAGATTAACAAATGCAGACGAGCCATTTTGTGGCATTTGCTGGAGCTCATTGAGACGTTCTGTGCTTTTCAGTTGATGAGAACGATTCAACGTTGACAGGCCAGTGCCAGTTCGAGGTTTACCCGAATCAGAATAAGATACACTGGCCGGTGAATCCTCTTTGCCAGTTGATTTACCGCCTGGAAACTTATTCGAGGGTGTTAATGGCTCGGCAGTATTCGATTTCGTTGTTGGTGTTGTGCGTCGTAAACGTTGGGATAATTCAGATAGAGGTGCATTAGTTCCAGTAACAGTTTTCCATGCGTCCTTATTGTTATTGTCGAGAGGAGTTGTCGTGAGAGGAGTTCGTTGTTGCTGCTGCTGTTGTTGTTGTTGTTGTTGATACTGTTGATGCTGCTGCTGATGTTGTTGTTGCTGCTGTTGTTGTTGTTGCTGTTGAGATATGGATTGTTTTTTCGAAAGTGAAAGGTCTTTATCAGTCATATTTGCATTTTGTTGCGGAGTTGTATTACCAGGACCAGTTGGTGACGATGCGTAGCCTCGACGAGAATTTCGATCAAGACTTTTTGGAATGTTACGACGTGGTGAAAATGGTGAATGGTCTGACGCACCACCACTTTGTCGACCACCACCACCACCGTTTGATTGTTTCCATCGTTCGTCAAGTGTATCAGCTTCTGTTGCTTGTTGACGAATATTCATCGTTGTACTCAGACCACCTGGTTGAGCAGTCATCAAAGCTTTGGTCATGTCTCTACAAAAACGAAGATAAAATTAACTGGTATAGTCTTACTTTCGTCTCAAAGAAATACGTACACAGATATCTTATTATTGATACTGGTTAATACAGGTTGTTGTGTTTGAGTTTGTGGCTGTTGTTGTACGCCTGAATTGGGTGTTAGCGATTCATCATCCACACCGTTGCTTTCCTTTTCCCAATCATACAAATCGGAATCTTTGTAACCACGACGAGCAATGGATGTACGAAACAGATTTTGTAATAAATCATAATCTGGTTTATCTTCATAACGTAGTTCTTGTATATGTTCAACGAATTGCTAGAAACACTCGATGTTGTACACATGTATTTTCTTCATTTATCCAAACTTACTTTAAATTCTGATGGAAGACTTTTGAGAAAATTAGTATGATCATATTTTTCTTTCATCTGTCCAACTTGTTCTTTATCTTTGATTCTTCTCCATGGTAATTGTCCAGTAATGAATTCAATAAGCATATAGAATAAGCTCCACAAATCATCGTGCCGACCCATTTCCTAAACAAAAAGATTAATTCGAAATTTGTTCCATCGTTCGTCACTTCTTCTTAACCAAACCTTATTTTTATGTGCATTGACTGAAGCATATCGTACAGTACCCCGAAAGCCTGCTTGTGGTCGCGCTGCTCGAACACTTCCCTCAGCATTCGTATACTTTCTCGCTAGGCCAAAATCTAACATATAAACTTTCCGACAAGTTGTTGGTAATCTTCCCATAGAAAAATTCGACGGTTTGATATCGCGATGCAAGAATCCGATTGCGTGAATTGATTCGATAGCTTGAAGAATTTGTAAACTAATACGTAATGATGTGGATAAACTAAAACATTGTCGTGCTTGCCCACGACGCAATTCGGCAAGATTCTTTCCTTGTAAAGTCATGACCACATAGTTGTATAATTCATTTGTTCCGCCACCCAAAAATTTGCAAACGTGATCTTTGCCTTGTAAGCGACGTAAAACTGTTACTTCCATTTTAAGTACTTGCTTAGCTTGTTTGGCTGATTCGAGTTTAAGTGCAACATTCTCTTTGGTAACAAGATCATAGGCTTCATAGATCTGCCCAAAGCCGCCACCGCCAATTTTCGTATTCTAAAGGCAAAATTATTTTTCATTAAAAGATATAAAGAGACGAGGAATGAAGAAAACTTTTACGTACAACTTTCCATCGTTCTCGAACGACATTTCCTGGTTGTAGAAGATCTGCTTCGGACATGTTCGATGTTACCGCGCATACTGATGAGAATAATAGTTATTTATCGACGACAACATATATACAGAAAGATCTATAAAGTATTATGTACANTGTCTTCATCGCTTTTATTCATAGTTTCATAATCACAGAAAATGAAGAACTTTGTTATTATTCTGTATTATTTCTTTTGCTTGTTTCACACACGCATTATGGATTTTGATGTTTTTGATGAACAAAAAAATGCCTTATCTAACGAGTCAAAGAGTAAATCAAATATGAAGAAGGAAACGACTATAAACAAACAAACACGCGCACACATAAACAGTCCTAGAGAGAAAGTTTTGCTTGTTGAATAATAACGAAACAAAAAAAAAACGAGGGAAAAAACCAAAATAGGACGCTCTTCATCATCATCATCATCATTTTTCCATTGATATATACATGTTATTGTGAGTAAAGAATAAATGTTTTTGTCGACGGAGTAGAATGGATTGTTTTCTTTTTGAAGCACAAAAAATTGAAGGAAAAAATAAAAAAAAATGAAGAAGATTAAGAAAAGAAGAACTCCGTGAATGAATGATTATTTCATATAGACAAATATAAATAAATAGAATTAGACCAAAAGGAATAAGAAGAGAAACAACACGTAAAGAGAAACCAAAGAGAGATTTGATTCGGACAAGCTCGAATTTGTGATAGATACGACAGTTGAAGAAAATGCCATTGAAGCTTTGTTTTCAATTGAGATCAAGCAAAGGAACGAAAGACATGACGATCACGTCATGGGTGAGCGTTCTAGCGAGCCTTCGCGACTATTATTATCTTTTTGGCGACTGGTTAAATTATCCATTTTGTATCGACGACGTCTAGAAACCAAAAAAATACATTTATTATCGAATTTACATGAGAATTTCATGGCAAACAAGTGATGTCACATATGTCTGATCAAATTAACAAACGAGACATCGAGCGAGGGTGATAAATGAAAGAGATTAGATAGAGAATAGCGATGAGTGTTGTATCTGTAATTTTATATGAAAGATGTGAGCAAAAGATGTTCGATCGACATTATTGATATAAAAGATAGAAATTTAGTCTACTGGTAAGATCGATCTTCAACTAGAAGGTATACGAGTAGCTTTTTTTGTGCGTATAACCTTTACTATAAAACAAAATTAGAAGGTCTGTCTGGTAAACATTCGATTACGAAATCTCAAGTTCGGACAGATTTGCCTTTCAAATCAAACTAAAGCTGATCGATCAATTTGCTCTATAATTAAAATATTGTTCATTCAAGTGTATGCGTTAGAACAACGAATTGAAAATTCTCATTTCTTTCATTATTCAAAGTCGAATAGACATCGAATACATAGGCTAATATGCATGAAACATTCATTTATGCCCATCTAGCAATTACTAACGAGAGATATATTTAGAACGATATAATCCAGCTCTCATGTGCCTTGTTTTCTTTCATTTGACATCGATAGATCTTATCATTCGATGATAGATTTGCAACAATTGCTCTCCAGTCATGTTTTCGACATACCTTGCATTCTGACTGGGTATACCAGGTGGCGGCTTTGGTAAATGACTAACAGTTGATGAACTAGATATATCGTCAAGTAATAAATTACTTGTCGATGTTGAATGTTGCATAGGTGGCGCACGTCGTGGAAAGTCCGTCATTCCAGTTAAATGACTATGTTGATCGATATTTCCATTACTAGTTGAATTGCCAAACATACTACCGACGATAGCTGTTGTGTTGTGAGCGTTTGAACCATTGTTATTTTGGTAGTAGAATGAAGACGAATAATAAGGATAGAGATTATTGTTCGGGGATGAAGTTAAGATCGTGGAAGTGTTTAGATTTGAGCCTGAGCGATTGATTGAGGGCGATTGTTGATAATAGATGTGATGTATGTTTGCTGACGAACTCGACGGTGATTCGAATAAATCTTTATAAGATTTACTACGCTGCATTCGATCAGCAAGATTACTTGACATGGTCGATTGTTTGTTGAATGGATTGGCAGAAGAGAGATTCACTCGTGATCCTAATTGTTGTGCTTGTCGTGTAACAAAGTTACTAACTGATTTATTCGTGGACGGATTTAATGATGATTGTTGAAAGGACGTTCGTCGAGACGAATTATTGGTTTGATGATAACCATTGTTGTTGTTGTTGGTATTGTTGTTATTCGCAGCATTTTTTTCGTAGAACATGAGCTTTTTATAGAAATCATCGCCACGATGAGTTTCAAATGATGTCGACGAAATACGATTACCATTTGAAAAACGTTGTTGATCACTTTTCGATTCTTCCACATTTTCATTAGGACTTGCTTCGTCGTCGTTTTGATCTAAATAAATATAGGAAATTAAGCGAACGAGAATACTTCGGTTTTTGTTCTCTTGTTAAATGTTAGAATCGCTTCAATAACGATTGATGATGATGAAACGGGAAGCGAAAACTACTGTACAATGTTAGTTAAATTAGAGATTAATGTAATTTACAAAAAAAACCACGTGCAAACGAGCAGTTAGATGTAGTCATGATTGTTTCATTTTCCTCTTCGTTGGTTTCTTACTTAAGCTTTGAATCATTGTTGATGACTGAGAGTATTTCTGTTGATAATTTTGCTTGAGAATTGACGTTGGAGAATTATCTTTTGTTGTGATTTGAAATAATGAAGTTGGTGGAGTACTTGGTGGTGTACAATATTTAACAAGACTATCGTTAGCAAATGAACGATTTAATTGCTCAGTTGATTTAGCTATTAAACGTGTTCCATTGAATGGCGCTGGAACGAAATTGTACCCACGAGGTCTTAAATGTTGTTGCTGTTGCTGCTGCTGCTGCTGCTGCTGTTGGAATTCATCGATATGTAAAGATGATGAGGAGCTTGATGAACCGGATGATGCAGGTCGAATCGATGATGAAACACCAATTGTACGTGGCTCATAAACTGGTTTGCCGTTTCTTGACGGTTGGTATTGATGTTGAATGCCTGCTAAATTACCTCCTGAACCTGTATTTCCATTTCCTGCTTTCATCATCATCAATATTGTTGAAGCACTCTGGCTCGGTCGTACCGAGGTATCAATGAATGAAGATGAAGGAATATTCTTAGAAAAACTATCACCAATTACAGTTGATTGCATACTTGTTTGAGAATAGATTTGTCCATTGTCTTTACGAAGCATCTGTTGTTGCTGTTGTTGTTGTTGTTGTTGTTGATTTTGTTGTTCATCTACCTCTCCTTCATGTTCATGATGAAATTCTTCTTCACCCGCAACTTCCTCTTGTTCATATTCATCATCTGACAATCGATTAGCACCGGCATAATTAGTAATAGTAGTCTGATTGGTTATTAGACTTGGTGGATGACGAGGAAATGCATTCGCTAATATATCGTTTGGCACAGATGTTGTCGGTGGACGAGATATAGGGGTTGTACTTATTGAAGTTCGATAGTTTTCAAACGGAAAATTTTCTATATATGCTTGTTCATTTGGACGCAGCATACATTCTTTTTCTAGGAAATAAATAGATTTAGATTTTTGACTCTCAACTAATTCGAATATCAATAGATATTCTACTGAAAAAAGTCTCTGATCATGTGTGTAACCTACGTTGATTTTCTAAACCATCATAACTGTTCAATATTCCTGTATTGGATGTTTCCTCCATTCCTCGCAGCAATGGTCGATGATATTGTTGTTGGCGACCGCCATTAATGATGCTTGTTGTAGTTGTTGTTGTTGTTAATACATTGCTATTCGTTGCCGTGACTAAACTCGAACCATTATTACTGTTCAAAATAGTGGCATAGGTTATTGGAGTTGATGATGATGGAATCTGCTGAATAGTATTGTTTATTATTGTTGCAGATATTGTATGCGCCTGCAGTTGTTGTTGTTGTTGTTGTTGCTGCTGCTGTTGCTGTTGTTGTTGTTGTAGTTGACTGTTCATTGTGGACGGAGAAAGTGGATTATTCACAGGAGGTGATGATGCTGGAGGTGGAGGAGATGATGATGAAACGATATTACCCGTAGGTAATAGAGATGGAGTTTGAGCTTGTGCTGGATGATATAGAGATGGCTCTTGCGTTGTGCTAAACAAAGAGAAACTCGATTAGGAAAAATGTTCTTTCTTGTTTTCGAAATTAAGAAAAATTAGTTCAGAGTATGTTTGTCGAATCCATGATTCTCATTCAAAGGGAAAAGCAGTCAAATGTAGCAAGTTTGAAAAGAGAAAAACCAAACAATGATCATTCCAGACTGACCTTTGAAGTTTTTCTTGTGCGTCTTCCCATTTAGCACTATGTTGATTATCACTACCTTCATCGTCAAGATTATCATCTAATGATATCATCCACTGAGACATAACGGTTTGAGGTCCAAGTTTCATTGCATAAGTTGCGGCCGGTATTGAAATTGCTTCACTATCACCGCCACGATTGGTCGTTTGTCGTGTTGTTGGTGCTATTGCATCACTACGACTATTAGTTGTTCGATTCGAACGTGGTGTTTTCGGTGGTTTACCATGTTCTGTACCACCGGCAGATGTGTACATCACATTAGACATTTGATTGGTACCAGGTGAGGGTGATTCATCGAGATTAACAAATGCGGACGAGCCATTTTGTGGCATTTGCTGAAGCTCATTGAGACGTTCTGTGCTTTTCAGTTGATGAGAACGATTCAACGTTGACAAGCCAGTGCCAGTTCGAGGTTTACCCGAATCAGAATAAGATACACTGGCAGGCGAATCCTCCTTGCCAGTTGATTTACCACCTGGAAACTTATTCGAGGGTGTTAATGGTTCGGCAGTATTCGATTTCGTTGTTGGTGTTGTGCGTCGTAAACGTTGGGATAATTCAGATAGAGGTGCAGTAGTTCCAGTAACAGTTTTCCAGGCATCTTTATTGCTATTATCGAGAGGAGTTGTCGTGAGAGGAGTTCGTTGTTGTTGCTGTTGTTGTTGTTGTTGCTGTTGCTGATACTGTTGATGCTGCTGCTGTTGCTGTTGTTGTTGCTGTTGTTGGTGTTGAGATATGGATTGTTTTTTCGAAAGTGAAAGATCTTTATCAGTCATATTCGCATTTTGTTGTGGAGTTGTATTACCAGGACCAGTTGGTGACGATGCGTAGCCTCGACGAGAATTTCGATCGAGACTTTTTGGAATGTTACGACGAGGTGAAAATGGTGAATGGTCTGACGCACCACCACTTTGTCGACCACCACCACCACCACCGTTTGATTGTTTCCATCGTTCGTCAAGTGTATCAGCTTCTGTTGCTTGTTGACGAATATTCATCGTTGTACTCAGACCACCTGGTTGAGCAGTCATCATAGCTTTGGTCATGTCTCTACAAAAACGAGGATAAAATTGACTAGTATAGTTTTAATTTCTTCTTAAAGGAATACGTACGCAGATATCTTATTATTGATACTGGTTAATACAGGTTGCTGTGTTTGAGTTTGTGGCTGTTGCTGTACACCTGAATTAGGTGTTAACGATTCATCATCTACACCGTTGCTTTCCTTTTCCCAATCGTACAAATCGGAATCTTTGTAACCACGACGAGCGATGGATGTACGAAACAGATTTTGTAATAAATCATAATCTGGTTTATCTTCATAACGTAGTTCTTGTATATGTTCAACGAATTGCTAGAAACACTCGATGTTGTACACATATATTCTCTTGATTTGTCCAAACTTACTTTAAATTCTGATGGAAGACTTTTGAGGAAATTAGTATGATCATATTTTTCTTTCATTTGTCCAACTTGTTCTTTATCTTTGATTCTTCTCCATGGTAATTGTCCGGTAATGAACTCAATAAGCATATAAAATAAACTCCACAAATCATCGTGCCGACCCATTTCCTAAACAAGAAATTAATTCGAAATTTGTTTCATCGTCCATCACTTCTTCTCATTCAAACCTTATTTTTATGTGCATTAACTGAAGCATATCTTACAGTGCCACGAAAGCCTGCTTGCGGTCGCGCTGCTCGAACAGTTCCCTCAGCATTCGTATACTTTCTCGCTAGGCCAAAATCTAACATATAAACTTTCCGACAAGTTGTGGGTAATCTTCCCATAGAAAAATTTGACGGTTTGATATCTCGATGCAAGAATCCGATTGCATGAATTGATTCAATAGCTTGAAGAATTTGTAAACTAATACGTAATGATGTGGATAAACTAAAACATTGTCGTGCTTGCCCACGACGTAATTCGGCAAGATTCTTTCCTTGTAAAGTCATGACCACATAGTTGTATAATTCATTTGTTCCGCCACCCAAAAATTTGCAAACGTGATCTTTGCCCTGTAAGCGACGTAAAACTGTTACTTCCATTTTAAGTACTTGCTTAGCTTGTTTGGCTGATTCAAGTTTAAGTGCAACATTCTCTTTGGTAACAAGATCATAGGCTTCATAGATCTGACCAAAGCCACCGCCACCAATTTTCGTATTCTAAAGGCAAAATTGTTTTTCATTAAAAGATATCGAGAGATGAAGAATGAAGAAAACTTTTACGTACAACTTTCCATCGTTCTCGAACGACGTTTCCTGGTTGTAGAAGATCTGCTTCGGACATGTTCGATGTTACCGCGCATACTGATGAGAATAATAGTTATTTATCGACGACAACATATATACAGAAAGATCTATAAAGTATTATGTACAAAATAACAAAACATCATTTGAAAAACTGAAGACGACAAAGAAATTTTTGCTTGAATATACGTCAGAGAAAAAGAGAGGAAAAAAAGAGAGAAAAAGGTCGTCGTCACTCCCGATCAATCTTGTCCCATTCATACACAGCGAACATTCTTTTTTTCGAGCGTCGATACTGTTTACGTAACCTAGCTCTGGCGGTGTGTGTGTGTGTTGGATAGAGGACATACAGTAGTAGTTCTATCATGCCTACGACGATTGTCATCAATCAATTTTGATGAACCTCGTCCTGCAAGGTTCATTATTAAATAGATGTATATAAAGGTTCTTTTTCTAACACATAAGCAGCTGATTCGTATCACAACTAAGACAGTCTATTTACGAAACACAAATTAAATCTATCGAGTAGCATGTTCGTTAAATATACATCTGTACGCGTACGGTCGGTTTCGTTGACATACTTGCTTTTGGGCGGAAGAAAGCAAGGAGATATAACGTAAAAGAGAATACAAACGCATGTATTTTATGATGTTGTTACCAACGTGAAAAAACCGAGATTAATAACTATCACAGCGCGAGAATTAGTTGTTTTTTGCTTTCTTCGTTTTTTTCAGCAGGATACATTGCTGATACGAGCAACCATATGCCGAAATCTATCAACATAAAGACTGTATAACAAGGACAAAATGTATCATCAAATTAAAAGAAAAAAAAAGGAAAAGAAGAAAAACAGCGACGAACGGACAGCACGAATATTTTGTTCGATTAGATTGGTGTATGCAGTAGTTGTAGTAGTAACACTACTAATGGTCAGACGAGAGTAAACGATGAACCTCTACTGTGTGCGTGTGTGCATCGTGTTCTTTTTTTTCTCCCTCTCTCTCTTCTCTACTCCACCCAATTCTCTTCATCTACATATAAATACACACATATATGTATGTGTGTATATATTGTTCATCGTTTTCGTTCTGTCTGTCTGTCTGAGTAGAGGCGAATTGAGCCGAAATTTGAAACGCTCGATGTGTGTTTCGTTTTTACGAGACTGAAAAGTGAATGGACAGAAGAAAAGAAAAAAAAAGAGGAGATAGACCTAAAGGTCAACAATAACAAAGAAAAAAAAACAAAACAAAAAATTTAAATGTACAAATGACAATTCCAACTTCGAAAATCAGTATTTACTTGCCGTCGCATTTTTCGTCTATTCTTTTTTATGTTCTCCTCATTGATATTTCAATTTACTTTTCTTATACAAATGAAGACGAAGAAGAAGAAGAAGAAAAAGAAAAAAATACATACAGCCTGTGATGTAACGATTTGGTTTTTAGCGATGAAGGAAAAAAAATAAGAATAATTTCTCCTCACGACTATTACCACCATTCATTCCATGATCAACATCTTCAAGTGTCAAATCCGATGCGTGCAATTCAAAAGAAAATCAGTGGCGATACTAGCGCTGGCTTTTTTCTCATTGGTAGAGGAATCGACCGAATCGAAGATTTCGATCAGCTGTTTATTTGTTTTAATTGAGAAGAGTGATCAACGAAGATAACGATGACGGAAGATAAAACTGAAGGTAGAAACTTGATTTTTCCTACTCACTATCCAGACATGTTATTGAGATGCTTTTTTCCGGTCTATGTTTAGCTATTTTATCATATGAACAATTAAAAACTCTGCATGAAAATTATCGACAAGATAAGAATAATCGTCTTGCTCAATCAGCGTGCTGTCAACAATCACTCACTGATGTTATTGTCGATCGGAAAACACGTTTTTCGTCAATTCATATTTTCAATACGAAAGTAAACAATGCTAAATATTAAGTAGAAGAATGTTGAATGAAAAGGATCTGGCCCAGACTGAGCGAGAGAGGTACTATAGCATGGAAAGTCATTGAGTGTTGATGGAAATAAGAAACTTGCATTTTCGTGTGTTTTCTCCACGCCTTCGTTTATTTCCAAAAAGAAATCTGACGCTGCACATTTGTTTATATTTACAAGTTCTTCTTCAAGTGGATATATAAGATTTCTCCAGAGAAAATACAAGCCTTCTTCCTCGAACACGCGATACGTGATTTTGTTAGTCTTAAATTTCTTTGGCGGAAAAGTATGATATTCCTCTTGAATGAATTTCAATTTGACAATTTCCTTAAGAATCGAATCAAACGAGATTCTACTTCGATATTGTTTTAGTTATCGATCGAAGGTCGACCGGTGACAAATCAAAGAGCATCAGGCCGTTGTTGGATGTTCGCTTGTTTGAATGTCATTCGTATCCAATTAATGAAAACATTGAAAATCTCTGAACTTGAATTAAGTCAGAACTATCTATTTTATTTTGATAAAGTATGTGTGTCAATCTCGTTTCGATCATCGAAATCGAATTTATTACATAGATTGAACGATGCCATTATTTTCTCATGACAATGATCGACTTGGCTAAAAAGAAAGAGCCAGTCCATGGTCGACTTGTGCAATATCTTTTGAAAGAATTACTTATTGATGGAGGTAAATCGAATCGTACTTGTGATGAGCATTTCTCTAGCTTCGTTTGTTTAGGTCAATGGGATATGCTCGTGAATTTGATAAACAAATATGGTGTTGTACCAAAAAGTTCTTTTCCAGAAAGTTCCTCATCAGAAGCAGCAGCTCTTATGAATAAATTCCTTCGAACTAAGGTAATTCTTTCGGCAAGAGCATCCACTTATTCGCTAATTTCTTCCTGCTTTAGTTACGTGCATATGCTCAGGAAATCTTTGAAGCATTTGAAAAAGATGGTGTCAAAGAAAGTGATATAATCGCACGAGAAGCTGAAATGATGAAAGAAGTAAAACATTATTCATGCAAGGTTCGATAACGAGCAAAATCCTGACCTTTGCTTAGGTTCATCGAATTGTCACTATATGCTTGGGATCACCACCGGAACAATTCACATTTGAATACTATGATTCATCGAAACAGTACCAAAAAATTGGTCCTATTAGTCCAATTGATTTCTATCAACAAATTGTTAAGCCGATCTACAATATTGACAATAAAGTAATTCTTACCGAACATTCTCTATAGTCGAATGCGTTGTTTTCTCACGTTAGATCTGTCTTGTTCACGATCCTCGAGTATCCCATGATTATGGTCGGTTATATACGGTTGAATATCTTGGAAATATTGTCGGTGGTGAGAAAACTCGTTACAATAATCAGCCGCTTCGAGTTCTCAAACAAGCCGTATACGATTCGATTGCTGCCGATGAAGTAAAAGACTTTCTGCATGATAAAGAGCAACAAATCTCATATTACTTTATCAATAGGCCGTTTGGTTCGGTGTAGATTTTGGTAAACACATGCATGCCAAATATGGCATACTTGATATGAACATCTTCAATACTGAACTTTATTTTGACTCGCACTTTCCTTGTCAAAACAAAGCATCACGATTAGAATATGGAGAATCATTGATGACACATGCCATGGTATTTACGGGTGTGCATGTTGAAAAACGTTCTGCAAATGATCAACAGGATAAAATGAAAACGTCGGATGGTGAAAGTACTCAGCCGAATGGCTTACAGTTTATTCGATATCGTGTAGAAAATTCCCATGGTGATGATAAAGCCGATAAAGGTTATCTTGTCATGAGTGATGATTGGTTTAATGAATATTTATACGAAGTGGTTGTCGATAAAAAGTATCTTTCAAAAGATGTGACCGACGTCATGGATCAAGAACCCATTGCTTTAAAAGCCTGGGATCCTATGGGTGCTTTAGCATGCTCTGTAAGTGAAATTGTCACATTGAACTTTGCTCACTTTCTTCGATTTAGCATAACAAAATAACTGAGCATTAAAATCAATTCATTCCTATCGAAGAGTAAGTACTTCTTGTAAGAATGAACAAACTGTAGCTGTCTTTGTTCTAGTTAAATCACCTATTTAATTTCGCAATATAAATACAAATCTTACGCTAACTCACATACTACTAGCATATATCTAGATTTTCCTCTTTTTTTGTGATTCAACATTTTAATCGAAATAAAAACACGAACTTCAGTTGATTTCTTTTCCCCAACTAGACCACCTCGATATGATTTCAAACGAGATTGTTTGCTTCTTATCTTACTTTCCAACCGAGGTGGCCATTATGTATACATGTTATCAATCGATTGACTTTCCTTGTTGTACGGGGTGGTCTGATTCGATGAAGACTATAAATGTTCGAGGATATTCAACATTTTCTTTAAAAAAAAAACAATACTAGCAAACCATGCAGATTCTTTTCGGTGTTATTCTTATTGTTGCACTGGAAAATGTTCTCCGAACGAGCGCTTTGGATGATCAACAAACGCAATCGATTATTGAATTGTACAAGAAAATCAGCGAGAAAGACTCTCTGGTTGATGGATTATCACTGAATGATAATGCTCAATTGAAATTAAAAACAATCAATACAATACGATTGGTACCATTGATATCTTTGCCAACAAATCGATCCATTTTACTATTTAACGTTAGTCTAAATAAATTACAAATGAACGAAGAAGTGAAATTAATCGAATTTCGTTTGAAATTAACAATGCGCATGAAACAAAGAAGATTACGATTAATTATTCGAAATTCGCTTCACCAAAGAAGACGAATTCGTCCTTTGATAATCTCCAGCGCAGATAGCGAATATCTCTCCTACGATATTACAGATTATTTGATTCACCATTCTACACAACAAAGTATTATTATTCGACGACAATTCTGGCTACGAAGACACCTTCAAGAAGCATCACTAGTGATCTATTCTCGTGCACCAAGTGCATTTCTTCTTCCATCACCAACTCGACGAATGAAACGATCTGTTAAACAACAGCAAATCACCGGTCCTTGTTCAAGACATGATCTCTTTGTTGATTTTAATCAATTATCTTTTGGTGCATGGGTTGTCCAACCCAAACGATTCAATGCCGGTGTTTGCCGTGGTGATTGTCCGAATCCGTTATCACGATCGTATTATCCGACAAATCATGCTATGTTATTAAGTCTTTTGCATGAGAGAGGTAATGCTATCCAGCAACCTTCATGCGTACCTGTTCGCCTTCGACCACTTGATCTACTCTATTATGACCGACGAGATCTTGTTATTAAACGACATCGAGGAATGCAAGTCGAAGAATGTGGCTGCAGATAAGAACGATTGGTTTCAAAATTAAATAAGTTCTTGCGCTACCTTGTTTATATTTTCAAAGTATAAAAAATAAATCTTCAAGGTATTACATAGCTTTGAATATCCTATTTTACCGATCGGAATACTTTCTCTTTTTATGACGTATGCAAAACAACTATGATTTCTTGGCACTGTACAAACCAGAGTTTCGATAGACCGACGGCAAGGAATTGCTTTCTTTGCATTCATACTTAACATGATTCCTATTTGTATTCAGAGAGACGTTGTATGTCATGAAACAGATAGCAAAGACGTACACATCGAACTTTCTACAAATGAATTGAGAGTAGAAGAAAAGTCTGTATAGAACAAGTCGACATTCGTCGTTCATTATAGTTTACATATCTGTGCATAGGAAAAACTGTTTCTCAATTAAACATTGAGAATGATACTCCATGTCAGAGATGAAAAGCATGATTTCCTATCGAGAAAAGACAAGTATCTATGAATTCATTTCGATTTATATCACTTGAATAACACGATTGTCAGCAAATGAGTGTTCAACCACAGGAACATTCCTAATTTCATTGTCAAGATGATCTTATAGATCAAATTCGACAAGGCTGAGTCTCCACATTGTACGAAGAACTTGCCGGTGAAAACATACTATTACCATACGAAACTTTCCATCTTGTTTATTTGATAACTATACTAAAGAACATCGTTAACTTTCTTTCGATAGTTAATCATGTCGAAAAACATCTGGATTTCAAGGTAACATCAATACAGATTTTCGTCTGTACAACATATTTACTTGCTATTAATCATGGCAGATAGCTTCGCATATTACAGATGGATCTAGTCTAAATTGAAGCACGAGAAGTAGGACAGGAGTTGATAAGGTTTCTGACAAAGAGCCCTTGAAGTGTTGAGTTCTCGATGAAAATCAACTAATTGGAATAATTTCTTATTTCTTTCTTTGAATAATTATTCTTGACAGCTATTAAAGTCGTCAAACTTGAGAACACCAAGCACATCCATCATGCAGATAAACTCGTTTTGTCTTCTCGTGACAAGGCGATTATTGAAATACATATATGTATGTAAATATTTGTCAATAGGAAAAGAGATTCTGCTTGGGTTTTTATCAGTTACGCGATAATTTGTTATGCAGTTACACTTTACTATCGAGTAGGTGCAGCTGATAAAGATTCGCTGACCTGGATATGTGCAATGTCGTAGAAACACACAGTGTTTTCCTGTGAACAAACAATTAGAAAAATAATTATTTTCTGTTTTTTTCCTCGACGACTTCTGTCAATTAGTTAGATCAAATTAGATTCAAAAGAATAAACTCACGTGTTTCGTCTGAAATCATGCAAACGTTGACAAAAAGTCGTCGATACAATCCGTACGTAATGAAACAGTTGTAAATGTACTCTGGATGAGAAGATGATACTGAGTGCATATCGTCAATGGAATCTAACGAATTCTAACAATTGTTGTCATTCATAATCATGTATCAACAAGAAATATTCTTTTATATTAAACAGAAAACAGATTTTGTCATTTGGCAATAATATACAAATAATTTATTATCGAATTGATGTGTCTCTTGAAGCTATTGATAGAATAGAAATGCTTTCTATTCCCATCCCAAAAAGGAATATCCTTCTTTTTATGCTACTTTGCGGATTAGTCTCACGATAATCAGACTCGTTAGTTTTGAAGTTATCAACGTAATCTTCTATAGATCATCTAGACGTGACTGACCTACAACATCGCGACTAATATTCAGAAGACAAGTCTTTTCTGAGAACAAACCTCCGTAATTAAACGAAAAGAAGAAAAATGACGTTGTCAGTTGAAAATCCCTCTAATGTTGTTGCTATTTAATAAAGGTTTCTAATTTCAGCAATTCTATTAGCTGACAAAAAGATTTATTTGATGGATATTTAAAAGGTCGTACAATTATACATCTCGATGTCACAAAGTAGTTGACATTAGAGAGCTAGAAGAAACTAGTTTGGCTTCCGATGTCCTGTAGTTGTACCGGAGACGCTTTGTGATAGATATATCGCTGCTATCTGCTTCATCTTCTCTCTAGACATATGCACAGGAGGAAATAAAAGAAAAACGAGAAGACTCAACGAACAGGATACCAAGAATCAGAAATATGCTCGTATTTTTCATCCATCTGATGCAAATCTATACATGTAAACGGAGGAATACAGACGTAAAGAATGGAAACGAGAAGAGAAAAGAAAATATATGGACGAATAAATTAGTTAATACACGATGATGATGATGATGATGATGTTTCGATGACGTCGATAGCAAGTCTTATACATACGATAGGAAGAAGATTTTCTTTTTCTTCTCTTCTTCTTCTTCTCCTTCTTCTTCTTCCACAACTTCCTTTTCTGTCTTCTCTTCGTCACCATTCGTTCGCTTGATGACGTAAGGCAGCGTGTTGATATGAAGAAGCAAGACGCCGCCGCGACAATAACAACAGCAGTAGCATCACAACGACTTCGCGATCTCATCAATCTAACTAAAACTGAGTAGAACATAAAACTTCTTCTTCTCCTTCTCCTTCTGCTTCTTCTTCTTCACATAATTGATCATTTACACATGTCGACCATTGTGGCAAGCCGATGACCCAAACAATGCATGATTTGCGGCTGGCGCTGCGTGACAGTGCCAAAAAACTCGAAGATGCCGAAAACACGTCGAACAAGCTGCGTACCGATTACGAAAGCCAACTTCGAAAGAAGGACGAAGTTATTTCCATGAAAGAATCCATCATCAAAGAAAAAGATGCTTATATTACTAAACTTGAACAAGAAATTCTCAAATATGATTCAACGTTCGTTCCATCGGTTGGTTTGGATAATAGTATGAATGTCAATTCATCACCACGCGTCTCTCTCCTCGATACTCCAACCAAGCAGCATCGAATGAAACGTACAGCTATCAGTGCTGAACCTGCTCAACATAAAAAATCCAAAGATCTACGCGTGGTTCTTCAAGCCTATGATAAATCTGAACGGTATGTTGAAATGAAACTAATTCGTAGGATTATACAACCTTGACCGTGACAAATCCGCTTCGCTGAGATCGATCATCGATAGAGAAAAAAAGATAAAGGACAAAGGTCTTCATCTGGAAATATCGATCTATGCTCTGAATAGATTATTATCATTGCAATACAAGGACAGTTGTAGTACATGGCTTTCCTTACATATCTCATTTGATTCGATATAAAATAGATCGATTTGACTAAGCTAATTCGCGATGTATGGAAAAGCAAGTGCAAGTGTGTAGGCTGATCAATATGAGTACGCGCTAGTAACGATTTTCTTTGTTGTTGTTATTATCATTATGGGAAAAACGCTACTAATCGTCTAATAGTTTCGACGATGATGATAAACAGAAACCAAAAGATATAAAAAAAAGAAACAAATTCATAAACATTAATAGGGATTAAACCAATTGGATCCAAGAAAAATAATATCCAGATCAGTTTTCCCGGAAATTCGATGAATAGATCAATAATACTGATTAAAAACAACTCTCATTTGTCTCTCTCAGTGCACTCAATGGTCATGTAAGATACTTTGCTTTTCAATGTACTAATTGTACATACCATGTAAGTCCGAAATTCGTCGATAATTTGTAACATATGCTTTCCTTCGAAACAGATGTTTTTTTGCGGTAGAAATGAAAAGTACTCTAATCGTTTCATCGAGCACATTTGCTATAAACATCAAAATTTCGATGTATAACTAACCATGAAGGTCGACCTTTCAACGTCAGCGTTTCCTATTTGCACTGACAAATTTTATATTTATAAATAGAAGAACAATTGAATTAGTCTAATGATTGCATTACTTATTCTCCAATAGGACCAAAGAATTCCTACGTGATGCTATATTGAATAATGACTTCATGAAAAATCTCGAAATGGACCAGATAATGTCGATTGTGGATTGCATGTATCCATTGGAACAGAGAAATGATAGTTTAATTATCAAAGAAGGTGATGTTGGTAATCTTGTCTATATTATGGAAGGTAATGAACAGCGAAATTAGACTTCTTCTATCTTTCTTTTGTTAATATTCGCTTTGAATACATTAGAGGGTACAGTGGAAGTAAGTAAACTCAACAAAATATTGACAATCATGGGACCTGGCCGAGTCTTTGGTGAATTAGCTATTCTGTATAATTGTACCCGTACCGCATCGATTAGAGGTAATAAAGAATTTTGTAGAACAAAGAAGTAAACTTGTTGGAAATATTTTTCTGCAAATTTTTAGCTTTGTCACACTGTAAATTATGGGCAGTGGATCGGCAAACGTTTCAAGCAATTATGATGCGAGCTGGAATGCAGAAGCAAACAGAACATCTTGAACTATTGAAAAAGTATCTCTCTTCTATCGAATGAAAATCTTCTGCATACGCTGCTTTCCTAGTATCAAAACATTTGAAACTGTTCGTGAAGATATTCTCAGCAAGATCGCAGATGCTGTTGATCAAGTTAGTTACACCGATGGAGAATACATTGTCAGACAAGGTGCCAAAGGTGATACATTCTACATTGTTGCTAAAGGTATGGGAAACTGCTATTTGAATAGCAATAATGTAGCTATTCTATTGAAAAATTCTTCTAGGACGAGCTCAGATCACTCAAGCGAAGTCGAAATGGGATAGTGCAGTTTATGTTCGACATTTGGAACGTGGGGATTCGTTTGGAGAAGCGGCATTACAATCGTAAAGATCGAAAGATGATCGATCTTTTCGTCTAACATTGTTTATTATTTCAGAGAGGAAACTCGACCGTTCAATGTTATTGCTGACGATCCAAATGGTGTGACGTGTCTTGTACTTGACAGACAAAGCTATAGGGAAATGATAGCTGATGAATTATCGCGATTTAAACGGGAGGAATCTGTTCGATACGCGCGAAAAAAGTTTGTTTCCGACTAACTTGAACATTCTCGACAACGTCTTTGTTTGTTTCTCGTAGTACGACGTTTATTAGCGGTGAAGATGAAAGAGATTTGAAGAATCTGCGCTTGGCTGATATTGAAATCATTTCCACATTGGGTGTCGGTGGCTTCGGGCGTGTCGAATTGGTAAAACTCATTCTTATCTCATTGGAACTCTTCAGTTGCTAGTACTTTAGGCGAATGACACACGCAATTCGAAAAAGTACAGTTTAAAACAAATGAAAAAACAGCATATTGTTGCTATGAAACAGCAAGAACATGTAATGAGCGAACGAAACATCATGATGGAAACACGATCAGACTTCATCGTCAGGTAAATGGTCATTCGACGAACGTCGATATCTGACAGAAAATGTTTTCTCTCGTTCGTTCAGATTATACAAGACGTTTAAAGATCGCAAATATCTCTACATGTTGTTAGAATGTTGCTTAGGTGGAGAATTGTGGACATTATTACGTAATCGAGGTTTTTTCGAAGAACCAGAAGTCCGTTTTTATAGTGCTTGTGTTATCGAAGCATTTGCTTATTTGCACAGCAAAGGGATTGTCTATCGTGATTTAAAAGTAAGAAAAATCTCTCTACAGAATACGAAGAAATCATTTTCATTTTTCTTCCAGCCTGAAAATCTGTTGTTAGATAGCAAAGGTTACTGTAAATTGGTAAGTCGAAGGTTAAATAATCGTATTTATCGCACTCAAATCAACCGAAATTCTATCTGTACTATCTAGGTGGATTTTGGTTTTGCTAAAAAAGTTGGTCTCGGTCGGAAAACGTGGACGTTCTGCGGTACACCAGGTAGAAAGTTCTGATTGAACATTATCACAAAAATTAATTATTGATTCTTGCGTATTTAGAATACGTTGCGCCAGAAATCATTCTGAATAAAGGCCATGATATGGCTGCCGATTGTTGGTCACTTGGTATTTTGATTTTCGAACTTATTAATGGAAAGTAAGAACACAATTGTATTTTCTACTGTGAATCTATTTCTTCATCGATATAGTCCGCCGTTTTCTGGTTCAGATCCAATGAAAACATATAATATCATTTTGAAAGGTATTGACGCAATAGAATTTCCTCGCCGAGTGTCGAAAATGGCTTCATTGCTAATCAAGCGATTATGCCGGTATACATATGTGTTCCCCAAAGAGAAATTGCATATTTTGTTCTTTAGAGAAAATCCAGTAGAACGTATTGGCTACCAGAAAGGCGGTATCTCAGATATTCAAAAGCACAAGTAGTGCACTGATGAAGTTATCAAATATATTTCAACAATTTCTGTTTTAGATGGTTCGAAGGATTTAGTTGGGAATGTTTGAAAAAAGGAACACTGACAGCGCCGTATGTTCCAAAGGTAGAGATTTTCTTTGTGAAAGAAAGAGAGAAGTCTTTATATTTGTCTTAGGTTGAAAATGATGCTGATACACAAAACTTTGATTATTTTCCCGAAGACGATTCTGCCGAACCTGACGATGATTTAACCGGCTGGGATAAAGAATTCTAATTACGGGAAAGTCTATTTTTTTACAGCTCAACATCGAACTTTCTTCTGCTATATATAATAAAAGAAAGACTCATTTTTGTTCAAATTCTCTTTGTCTTTTTTTTTATATACTATTTGATTTCATGTTGTATAGATATGTTTCTCTTTAGTGATGTCTATTTTTTGTTTCGTTCCTTCTTTGTCTTCAACAAAATTTTATTGTACCACTTCGGATATATAGAAAGATATTTTAGATCTGTATAAAAAAATAATTAACTAACTTCGCGAAGCTATTGTTTATGTATTGATATCTCCCATATGCTAAATCATTTGTAACACATAATTGTCTTTGGATTTTACGTAATCGCGCTCGATGATATAACCGGAATTCGAAAGGTTCGACTAAGGCATAACGAACAGTTTCGTTCATGGTAAAGTTCGTTTCTGATTCATAGTGTTCTGCTTTATCACGCTCGTTTACCATTGATAGACAACTTCCGGCAGTGATGTTTACATCTGCATTCAAAACAAAACTAATCGTTCGTATACCATAACGAGATACCCATCACATCTATCGTTCTATATACAAACAGATTTGCTCGATACAGTCATTATCGACTGTCGATGACGAGCAATTTTACAATCGAAAAGTAAGTTGATTCCAGTAATTCTTCTCTTTTGCATCAAGATTGGAACACTTTAGCGCGCCAGTTAGTTCGCATCATTGACTTTTCTGAATAAAGATAATTCTCTCAATGATTTACATGTCGTTACTTTTTTCCCCGTACCGATACGAGGAGAAAATGAAAGAAGAAAAATGCATTTAACACATTTGGAGTCGATGTCTCGTCCGTTAATCGAGATTTGAGTATGTTGTTTGGTGTCATATTCAACTCACTTGACGAGTCATTCATTCATTC